TGCCATGAAGGGCCCGAAAATATATTTTTGAAGATTTTTGTACCAATGGATGTAGGTCTTGATCAATAACCAGTATGTTGAGTTTCAGATAATTCGCTCAATCCGTTTTCCAGGGATAATAGTTTTTATTGTCAAATTTTACTTCAAAAATGAAAAGCGTTGTAATGCTTTTCAACAAAATCGACTAAAAAAATCGATGAAAAAATCGATTATAAACTCAAAACAGTATATTTTTATATCATCGTTTTCATGTGGACCAGTTGAGGGAAATAATCATTTTTTATCATTTTAGGCTTTAGTGGACCTTTAAAGCACTGGGTTAACTTTTAAAGAGTTTTAATTGTTGGGCAAATTTGAAAAGCGGTATTGAGATATATGTGATTATTTACGTAATGTTCGTTTAAAAAATGTGCGTTTAATAAGATAAATGTAAATTTCATTGAAATAAGTAGTGCAACACTAAGTTTTTATGACATAGCCCTCAATGAATATAGCTCTCCGAAGTGCTTTGTCCGCTTTGCAATAACGCATATAGCTCATCCGCGCTTAGAAAGTGATTTATATGCCTGTATTTAGAGCCGGCACCCGAAGAGGCTTATATACGGTTTCTGCACCTTGGTGGTGTTGGTAGTCCTCACTCCAGATCACGGCAGAAAGCCACACTGAATTTACCAGAGCAAAGTTCAGCCACCGCATCGTTCCTGGACAGACTGTCAAGCAGTTTACCAGTACAAGTTGCCTTCTGTACATACCAGAGCAGAGCTACAGTGCGAATTACCGTAGAAAGGATTTCATGATCAATCACAACGAAAGTGACTTGCATCGCCCGGGACTCGACCCAGGTCGCCCGATTTACAACCCAACGCTTTACCTATTGAGCTAACCGGACGGTGCAATATCTGTTAATAGAGCAGGCAGTGACTTATATACTGGTACTTCTAGGAAAGACGATATAGATTAAAATGAATAATTCAGGATATGTTGATATATTTGTTAAATGCAATTAACCCTCTGTCATCCTAAACGATACAGTTTCATGTCACTAATTAGATACCACTTTTGTCAACATTTAAAATTGATTACGTTATTTGCAAATATTTTAAGAGTGAGAAAATGATGTTTAAGACTGATCATTTTACATTAAAATCAACTTAATTGATCAAAGGGTTAATTCAGTTATGGCTTCTTTCATTTTTTGTGCATTTCACTTAAATACATCATTCTATAAAGGCGTTTCATAAAAGCCTAGAAAGGGCGTTTTATAAATCTAAAACGTTTCGTAAAAACTCAGAAAAGGCGTGTCAAAAACCTAAAAATGGGCTTTTCTTAATCTTATAAGCCTAAATAATCAAAGGTCAAAAAGCAACACAAGAAGGGGCGAAGATGTCAAAAAGATATTTAAAGGTCCATTATGTCCCAAAAATGCTTTATTTCACTTTATTACTTTTCGGCCTGTTATAGTTCGTTGGCCAGTTACCTGAATCATCGATTGCTTCATATTTTGGCAATTAGTACTAAAGAGAGAAAAAAAAAGTTTCTGAGGCATAATATGCCTGGCCAAGAATCCTTCCTACATGTACACTCGTAGAAAGTACAATGCACTGCAAAAACACCATCTTCAGTCACTATTTTAATTTATGCGGTTTGTTTGTGCAAAGACACTGAAATGATTATATGAGTATTGACTGAATCATTGGTGGTCAAAATGAAAAATTGCGTAACAAACGGTAAAGCATGCACTATCTTATATCAACCCACCCACACATTGTTTCCATTTGAAATATTTTCGAAAAAAAATGTATTTGATGAGTCAGTTCACGGGAAGATGATTTACACTCAATTGGATATAATACAAAAGACAATTTCATCTGCTTTAGAACACCGTGGAGAAAATACAGCAATCTGGAGGCTGTCAACCCCTAAAAACTTTGATCTTAATAATTCAATAATTCATCAAGTTAATAAACTGTCAAAAGTTCACTGTCACTCATTATAGATCTAAACAAAAACATTCAATTTATAAATGAGGATGAATGTGTAAAATATGTGAACATATTTATAATGTGTAGACGACATACAATGTACATACAAACTGATATATCATAGTAACTGGTGGCAATACTTTGTTGTGACCCCGAACATTGAAAACTATTTAAACCAATGTTGAAAATGAATGTGTAAAGAGCCGTGTCATGACAAAACCAACATAATGGGTTTGCGACCAGCATGGATCCAGACCAGCCTGCGCATTCGCGCAGTCTGATCAGGATCCATGCTGTTCGCTTACCAACTCTATTACAAGTAGAGAAACTGATAGCGAACAGCATGGATCCTGATCAGACTGCGCGGATGCGCAGGCTGGTCTGGATCCATGCTGGTCGCAAACCCATTATGTTGGTTTTGTCGTGACGCGGCTCATATATTATATACTAATACGTCATCGTTATCCGTGGCAACACTTTGTCTTAACCCTAGACAGTGAACTATTTCAGGCAATAAAACGTTTCTTTGATCAATGCACAAATATTTCTATAGTTATTTTGTGTCTTTGATTTGATTTACTTTGGTGGTCGTTGGTGTTTGAAATAATGCAGGAAGTTGTACCTGAGGTTTTCTTCCGACAGTAAAACTGCGAAAGTCGCCATACAACGTCGAACGACTAAAAATCCGACAAAACAAGCAATACGTTATCTTCTATCATAAAGAAATGTTATTCAATTTATAATAAGAAAATGCGCATGTTACCTTCAACAAGTGCAGGTTCTAATAAAATATATTTCAGTGAAATAAAAAATAACAACCAACAAGAATGTCGAACGACACATATACCCCCCTTTCTAGCCATTGACTCACATAATTGGTAATTTTATTACAGAAACTTGCCAAAAATGGGTACATGGAAGTGTTCAATTATGGAAAAATCAACGGAAACCATTTTGACATTTAAGGCCCATGTGACATTGACCTTTGACCTAATGACCCCTAAATCAATAGAGGTCATCTACTACTAATGACAAATAACTAGGTGAAATATGAAGACTTTGTGATGAATACTTTTCAAGATAATCAGCGGAAAGCCTTTTGACATTAAAGGCCCCTGTGACCTTGACCTTTGACCTAATGACCCCAAAATCATTAGGGGTCATCTACTAGTTATGACCAATCACTATGTGAAATATGAAGACTTTGTGATGAATACTTTTCAAGATAATCAGCGAAAACCATTTTGACATTTTAAGGTCCCTGTGACCTTGACCTTTGACCTAGTGACCCCAAAATCAAAAGGGGTCATCTACTAGTGATGACCAATCACTATGTGAAGTATGAAGACTTTGTGATACATACTTTTCAAGATAATCAGCGGAAACCATTTTGACATTTAAGGCCCCTGTGACCTTGACCTTTGACCTAGTGACCCCAAAATCAATAGGGGTCATCTACTAGTTATGACCAATCACTGTGTGAAATTTGAAGACTTTGTGATACATACTTTTCAAGATAATCAGCGGAAACCATTTTGACATTTAAGGCCCCTGTGACCTTGACCTTTGACCTAGTGACCCCAAAATCAATAGGGGTCATCTACTAGTGATGACCAATCACTATGTGAAATATGAAGACTTTGTGATGAATACTTTTCAAGATAATCAGCGGAAACCATTTTGACATTTAAGGCCCCTGTGACCTTGACCTTTGACCTAGTGACCCCAAAATCAATAGGGGTCATCTACTAGTTATGACCAATCACTATGTGAAATATGAAGACTTTGTGATACATACTTTTCAAGATAATCAGCAGAAACCATTTTGACATTTAAGGCCCCTGTGACCTTGACCTTTGACCTAGTGACCCCAAAATCAATAGGGGTCATCTACTAGTTATGACCAATCACTATGTGAAATATGAAGACTTTGTGATAAATACTTTTCAAGATAATCAGCGGAAACCATTTTGACATTTAAGGCCCCTGTGACCTTGACCTTTGACCTAGTGACCCCAAAATCAATAGGGGTCATCTACTAGTTATGACCAATCACTATGTGAAATATGAAGACTTTGTGATGAATACTTTTCAAGATAATCAGCGGAAACCATTTTGACATTTAAGGCCCCTGTGACCTTGACCTTTGACCTAGTGACCCCAAAATCAATAGGGGTCATCTACTAGTTATGACCAATCACTATGTGAAATATGAAGACTTTGTGATAAATACTTTTCAAGATAATCAGCGGAAACCATGTGGTCTACCGACGGACAGACAGACAGACCGACCAACATTAGCAAAACAATATACCCCCTCTTCTTCGAAGGGGGGCATAAAAATGCAGTTATTTCTACATATTCATGTACAACGCCTCCACGTGTGTCATTTTTTCATGATAATCAAAAAGAAGTTTGTAGACTACATGGTTTTCGTAATCCGATGGTGTACCATAAAATTGGTAGTATGTCAGCAAAGGATGAAATGCAAACCATTGGGATTATGTAAAACGCGGAGATAATATATACCATTGGGATAATATAGACCAGTAATAAAGTAATTCATACATCTCCGCGATTTTCATAATTATTAACTCCATGTTTGACAATAAATCTGTGATTTACATAACCCCAATGGTTTCTTGTGGAATTGGGATTATGTAAGCCAAGGAGAAAATGTAAACCATTGAGATTATGAATTATGTTAACCACAGATACTGTAAACCATTTGGATTCCGTAAACCACGGATATTGTAAACTATTGGGATTATGTAAACCATGAATTATGTAAACCATTTGAATTATGTCAACAGCACAGAGAGAAGATGTTTACCAGAGATATAGTTAGTCATTGGGTTTATACAAGTTATGAAGATATGTAAACGATGGATTATGTAAACCACATATATATATGGAGATAATGTAAATGGTCAAATGAATATAAATCAACCAAACAACCAACTATTAGGGTTACTAATACAAACATAAGGTGGTATAGCAAAACACAACAAAATTGAATAGTTTTTAATGTTTTATATTTTACTATATAGACTACATAATTTGTTTAATTTTCAAAGAAAAACAAATATCTATTTGGTGCTGATTAATTTTCATAAGCAATAAATGTAGAATGTGTAAAATAAAAAAAAAAGTTTAATCAGTATTACTTATTCACAAGCAATTTTGTCTAAATTGTGTGTACAGTTGCCAAGTTTTTCATGGAAAAAGATAATAAAAAAGTACACAATTATATAGGAAAAAGAATATACGTAATGAATCAGAATATTTTACCTTAAGCCGATTAATGTGTTTGTAAAATATCAATACACACCAGTGTTAGTTTCATTTTCATATAAATTTCATGAACAAACCAGTTTTGGAATAAAGTGTTAGTTTATAAAATGATTCTTAATTTTCTGTATGAAATAACAAAAACTATATATAAATGTGTCAGTAATTTCAACTTTCTGTCTATTTTAGTTCAATCTTATTGAGATCAGATTAGAACACATTTAGTATGTCAAGTATAAAGTTAGTGATGAAACTTGGAAATTAACTCCCCTATATTAGCAAGTTATCTCCCCTAATGTTTGAAAGTTACCTTCCCTGATGTTTGGAGATGTTATGAAATTGAGCCCAATTGATACTTGTGCATTTAATTCATCAGAGCTGCACTGGAAGCTTTACTCTACTTACTATATAAAACAGAAATTGAATACAACAATTGCCTAACTTGATAATCAAACAATAGCCTAACTTGAAATTCAATCTCTACCAAACAATACATTCAGAGAATCTGGATAAAACACTTAAAACTGAAAGACTTATCAAAATCAAGTCGGATTGGTTAATTTGGATGAGCAGTGCGTACAACGATTTTGATTGCCCTACTTTCAATAATGGATGAGAACTTGTTTTTATTTGCAATGACATAATATTTTCCTAAGTTTCAAAATGTTCAATGATTATAACATCAAACGTTACGTAGAAACTAAATCTGACTGGTTCTTAAATCTGTGTTCATAAAATTCACACCGATTCCTTTTTCAGCTTATATTTAATAATCAATGGATCAGCACTTTTTCAAACTAGTTTTTATATTCATACAATCAAAGCTGATAATAAAATTCAACATGCAAAGTTTTCAAATAGGGAACTTATTATGTTCATCAAAATAATTGAACAAACTATATCTCCAGACTGTTAAAAAAATGCACACTTTATGACATATTAAATGTTAAGAAAAATTTGTTGGGTTCTACATCATTACATGTAATAATATACATCCATTTCATTAACTGTTTGCTATCACAAACATTTACACATAAATTAAATGCAACTGGTTTTCATGTTCAAATTATTTCGAAAAAAAAGAAGACTGTTCTGTGGGATGTTTTACAACACAAAATAATTCAGAGTCATGAAAGTAGGGCAAAATTGCACAAGATGCATAGATATTAAAATAGCTATAACAAAACAAATTTTAGCACTTATCTGCTGAACAAATCATTCATCATAGGACAATAAACATCTGTATAACAATATAAATCACCTCTCTCAAAGCTGGAGGCAACAATGACATTTTAAAGTCTAGCCATCTCTTCTATGCAGTCTTACAATTTGGTTGCCGAGGTGTCAAAAAACAAAAAAGGTTTCGGATCACCCTGTCTACAAAACTTTTGATCATCAGTATGTAGACTTCTTGATTTTTGCAGAATAAGAACTTTACTTTCCAAAATCTTTTTATTTTTTTTTTTAAATATATAATAACATATGAAGAAAATTATATATGTAAAAAAAATTCCTATCTAGCTACCCTTTTTTTCTTATTGACCAAAGATCAGAAACAGATTTTTTTGCCGGAAAGAAGAAACAAACTTATTATATATTTTTTGTCTCGGTTGTGTTTTAAAATTGAAATCCCCGTAACTTTCAATGGCCAATTCTAGAATGACAGCCGGACATTACAGGCCGGACATTACAGGCCGGACATTACAGGCCGGACATTACAGGCCGGACATTACAGGCCGGACATTACAGGCCGGACATTACAAACATATGACATTAAATCAGCAGGATAATTGAACAGTAGTTTTAACAATGATTACATATATTAAAGGTAAGATGAAAGACATTTTTTGTAAAAAGATTTTTTTTTCTACAAGGTATAGACAACTTCATCCATTAATTTTATTAATTACACACATCATTATTAACATCTCTTTCTTTCAAAGAGAAAAAAACTTCTATTAATAGATTAATTAATCTTATTCATGGCGTTAGGGAACACATGTTGTGTCCCCCTTTTTCTAGACAAAAATGTCATAATGATTAAGACACAGCAAGAGCTATAAAAGATACAAAATAAAAAGCACTTTCAAATTTATCTAAACAAAATGCATTAATTATTATTAAGGCTCTTCTTTAATGAAGACAGTATATAACAGCTATATGATACATATTGCATTTATAGAAGTAGGTCAAACTTAAGTCAACCTCTTTTTTGTTACCATAATTAAAAATTAAAAATAAATTTGCAGAGAAAAAAATGCTCTATTGTTAATAGTGCTCTTTAACAAACAAAAAAAGATGTTAGCCAATATGAATAATTTGATTATTTGTTAAAACAGTCATTACAATAATTGGCAACTTTCAAAATGGTGCCTTCTTAAAAGGGATATATGATATTTTTTATACAGTGGAATACCAAAGGAATAAAAAAAAATCATTATTCTATAACAGTATTAACAAAATAAATCTGCAAAGTTGTAAAATTCAACATATTTCATTTCTTTTATTGCCAGACAAATGAAGATATTAGTAAATGAAGATGTTAACTAACTTCAAACCCAAACCATGATTTCACAGATTTATTTTACATTAAACTAAAATACTTAACAACATCACTCTGAATATTCAATCCATGGCAACCGTTTCATTCTACAAACATTGTAATATATTCTAATTGTCATTTATTTAACTCCTCCCCCTAATAATGAACAGCCCCTCCCACTAACATTGAACTGACCATTGTTTGATACAGGAATCACTGCTGGAGGAGATAAATTCACGATCAGATGTCCAGGATATATTCTGTACCTGAGCTTTCTTGTGTGCAACTGAAAATACAAAAAAAAATTCAAATAAAACTGAAGATTATCACATACTGTATTCCTAGAAATGTTCGCGGATACAATATTTCGCGTTTTTCACAACGTCGGCATTTTTGGCGGAGACAAACTTTCGCGGATATGTAGTAACCGCGAATTCCGCGAATGTTAAGTCGCTACGGCCTAAATTACAGCTTTTGCATGACCTTGCCTGTTGGGTGCTTTTAATTATATTTTTTGACAAGTCGCGCCTAAAGCGCAACGTTACTCGATACATTTTCATCTATTGACTAGTCGAACAAGGACGGTTGTTCCGTGAACACTTTCATATTTCCTTACCTTTTTTCATTATGTTATTAAGTAAGATTTAGTCAGACCCGTTAGCTTTTATTCTCATTTGAATCCTAACTGACTTTATCTTCAAAATGTCGAAACGTATTTTTTTACACATTATCGGACTGTACATCGCTTTCATTTTAACAACATAACAGCTGTTTATCAATGTAGCACTTTATCGCTATTGTACTTTTAACAAAGGGTTTACACCTACTCCAGTTCCAAACAAGCCTCCCACTAACATTGAACTGACCATTGTTTGATACAGGAATCACTGCTGGAGGAGATAAATTCACGATCAGATGTCCAGGATATATTCTGTACCTGAGCTTTCTTGTGTTGCAACTGAAAATACAAAAAAAATTCAAATCAAACTGAAGATTATCACATAAATTGCTCAAACACAAACACACAAAGAACCAAGGTGTACAAGATTATGATAAATGTTTTACAATGTTTTATTGTTTTCATTAGTTGTTTGTTTTATTTTGTTGGATTTTGAGTTACACCAGCACTGTAAAGGTCATATGGCAAATTTCCAGCTTTACTGGTAAAGGAATACCTCAGGTGCACAAATAGGCACCTGATTATAATACCCATCTTTTGTATGCGGGATTGTACTATATAGAACTGATCATTTATAGTAAATATATCGTGTGGACTGCCAGATGACTCAGTCTGTAGAGATATGCCATGGTATTTTGGTCTGTCAGGGGACAGGGGTTCAAGTCCCATTCAGGTCACATAAGTTTCTCAACCTGTGACACACCACACTACTACTAATTGTTTTTATTTGCAATGACATAATACTTTCTTAAGTTAGGATTATAACATCAATAGTTACATAGACAAATACACTAAAATCTTAACTTTGGTTTACATGTAATGATGTATATCAAAAGGCTGTCACATGTTACAAGTATGTAAAAGTGCATTTGCCATGAATTCTCAACTTTAATTAGACAGGTAGAACATTTTCCCATAATCATTTTCCCATAATTATTTTTAACAATCAGTTTTCATAATTATTAAAAGTACGCTATGACAGTTTAAAAGGGTGGCTCACAGCAAAAATTTACAAAATTAATGTACATTATGTATATAAGACTGACATAAACTTACATTTTTCAAAATGAGAGTTGCTTTTGTCATATTTAGGATCTAGGCACCAGACAGCTATACTACCATCTAAACTTCCAGTGGCGAAATGCTGCGAATCTGGACTCCAAGACACACAAAATATCTTACCATTCTGTTTTGTTGTTTTATACACCTTCTGTAAATTTCAAAAAAGAAAACTCTTGTAAAAATGAACAGGAATCATACAGTCAAGTTCATGTTAATGTCCAACCCAAAATAAAGACTGGATATAGAAAATACATCACAATTTCATATTTGAAATGATATTTGAAATGATTAATCAAGCTTTAAACCATGATACCAAAGCTAAAACTTACATCTTAGCACTGAAATTTAAAAGACTTGTAGCTTAGCTGACTGAGGACGACTTCAGGTCCACCTCTGTGCATTATGTCAGGCAATTGCGGGCACTTTAACTGAATCACAAACCTTTGAAAAGCTATCTAGTTGGCTTCCTCATATGACAAAGTCCAAGGACATGATTCAAACCCTGAGCAGAGGCACATAAATCTTGCTCAGCTATGTAAAAGGCACATTATGCCTCAGACATATTTTTGATTTTACTTCTCAAAAGCTTTTTTTAACTTTTATAGTATCCACAAAGTTAACATTGCCCAAGTACCTGAACCACCTTTTTATCTGTTGCTTTGTGGTAATAGATACAGTTATAGTGATTTAGTATTTTGTATGGAAGTCAAAATATTATTTTGTTTACATTCTGCTACTTTACTGACAAATAACTTCACACTGATCACTTCTTTCTTCCAGTAACTAGCATAAAATTATTATTTTAACATTATAAAATTCATGTTTGCCCTTTTTAAAGAAGTAAAAATTCATTAGGTTCCGAGGCATAATGTACCTTTAACCACTTATTCTATAGAAGCCCATCGCAGACCAGTTTATGGCAATACCATAAAAAAAACTTTTTATATGTACCTTTAATTCATCACCCTCCACTTTATACAAATAAACATATCTTCTACTACCAGTTGATGCTGCCAGGTAGTTACCATCTGGGGAATATCTGACCTGAGTTACATCATCAGTGTCAAAATCTATCTCTTTCCTTTGTTCCTTCAACCCTGTTCCATCAAATTCAAACACATGAATTCTCTGAAAGAATTTTAAAAAAAACATTAGTAAAAATTTGTACATTTTATAGTATACATGTATTTACAAACAGAAATGATGTATAAACATTCAAGTTACCTGTAATGTTCAAATAAGAAAAGACAAGAGGGGTACTTACAAAGTTAAGACAGAAATATAAATGTTGAAAAAAGATTGACATCAAAATTTGTATAAAATAGAGGCCTAATTAAGGCCCTTTTATGACTGATTTTTTGGAGGTGTGCTGCTGTTAGATAAATCACAGCATTATGTAGATGTAAGCATTTACCTTACTACCACCAAAGGCAACCCTATTACCTCCTGGATGGATATCTACACTGCTTGGATTAAAAATGACTTGTTGCTGAAACACCATAGCACCATCTTGAACAACTACAATCTGGAATACAGAAAAAAATCTCTTAAAATCAAATTATGCTCTCCTACATACATAAAAATCTTGACATGAAAGAACATTAAATATTGTCAAAACTGGTTTATCAAAATAAAATACACATAGTAAAAATTAGACCTGGTCTTTGAAATTGATAAGTGAGTGCAATAGCTCTCCCAGTTATTTGAATGGTCAAGCTAAAGATACAATCCAAGTATACTTTATATCAAGAGGGGAATCAAACCATTCTCATCCTTAATATGAATGAATCTGGCATTAAAAGACTATGGCGAAACATTTAGGTAAATTTCCCAGCAACATTACCACTGCACATGTACATGTACAATTAAATTGTATTTACAACAATGCTCAATATTGCAACCATTGCCATATCAAATGGGCAGAAAATCTAGCTAAATTTTCAAATGAAAAGATACTTACACTATCTAAACAAGCTACAATAGCTGTTGCATCAGATGTGGCAGCTACAGCCTGTGGTTGGGAAGGCATTTTAATGGAATTTGAACTGAAATGAAGAAAAATATAAGCATTTAAAAATACATTCTTGTGCACTGCACTTCTTCTTAATAAGACCTATCATCCTATAAAGTTTCAAGTCCATGGCTTTTATACATTAGGAGAAATGGCCCGGAAAAAATAAAGTATGAAAATTAACAAAGGGCAATAACTCAAAAATTAGGAAGTGCAGAGTACCGGTTCTTGTGCACTGCACTTCTTCTTAATGAGATCTATCATCCTATGAAGTTTCAAGTCCATAGCTTTTTTAGTTGAAGAGAAATGGCCCGGACAAAATTAAAGTATGAAAATTAACAAAGGGCAATAACTAAAAAAATAAGAACTGCAGAGTACCGGTCCTTGTGCACTGCACTTCGGGTTATTGAAAGAAGCATGCATACCAAGTTTGAAGTCAATCAGACTTATAGTGACTGAGTTATGCTCCGGACAAGCTTTAGGGGATGCCGACGCCGACAACGACGCTGCCGCTGACGCCGCCGACAAAAGTAACCCCTATATGTCACCTTTTCAAGGCAACACAAAAACTGACCAATAAAGGCAATATTGTCTAGCCTCCGAATTACTCGCTGCAATATATCAGATTAAACTTGATTATTCAAATCAATTTGAGTATCAATGGAAAGTTCCAAATTCAAAGCAGGACATCTATTATATAAATTTAGCAAGGTCAAGGTTTATATTATTTTAAAATGGAAAATAAGTTTAAATAAAACACACAGCACAGAGAAATGAATGATAAAGAATGACTTTGAGGTATATTCGTATATTCCGAATTTACAAAATGCCTTTTTGTATTTTTAATTCAGTCAATGCCGCTTCTTTGTAGGTTTTATAAAAATATATTTATTTCAATACACAATTTTTACACAATTGGCATCAAATATATATGCAACATAAACTCACTCATAATGATTGCTTGATATGCTTGTAATCCTCAAAGTATCGTCCATACTGATGGAAACCAATGAATTCCCGACAATAACCATATCAGATACTTTGTTAGTGTGACCTTTGCCTTGTATAATATCACAGTCGCCAGTTTTAACATCCCAATAATGTATGACAAGTTAAGAAAAATAGAAACATAGTCCAAAAATCTAATATACTGTACACACCAGTTATGATTGATAAAATTCTAACTATTTATCATGAGAATATTAAAAACCTGACAGCACAGTGCTCAGCTGTTTTTACAGCTATTACCATGTTATTCAATGATATACAGATTTTATTTTATATCACATGCTATAAACAAGAGGGCCATGATGGCCCTGAAGTCGCTCACCTGTATATAAGCCCCCGGAGCCGGGCCAGTTTAAACCCCAGGGCTTTTATTTGAACAAACTTGGTAGACACCCATTAGAAGATGTTTCATGCTAAACATCTAAGGTCTAGCTGATCAAGTTTTTTCTTTACACATATAGTAAAAAACAATGACACACCTGGGGCAGGGCCAGTTTTAACCCTTGGGCTTTATTTGAACAATCTTTGTAGACACTTACTAGAAAATGTTTCAGGCTTAATATTTAAACTCTAGCTATTCGGGTTTTTTCAAAGAAGATTTTTAAGTTTTTGTTATACACATATAAGGAAAATGAATGACCCCCGGGGCGGGGCCAATTTTGACCCCAGGGCTTTTATTTGAACAAACTTTGTAGACACTCACTAGAAGATGTTTCATGCTTAGTATCTAAACTTTAGCTATTTGGTTTTTTTCAAAGAAGATTTTTTAAGTTTTTGCTATACACATATAAGGAAAATCAATGACCCCAGGGAATTTATTTGAACAAACTTGGTAGACATCCATTAGAATATATTTCATGCTAAATATCTTAGCTCTAGCTCTTTGGGTTCTTTAAAAGAAGATTTTTTAAGTTTTTACTATATGCATATAGGGAAAATCAATGACCCCCTGAGGCGGGGCCAATTTTGACCCCCAGGGCTTTTATTTGAACAAACTTGGTACACACCCATTAGAAGATGTTTCATGCTAAATATCTTAGCTCTAGCTCTTTGGGTTCTTTAAAAGAAGATTTTTTAAGTTTTTACTATATGCATATAGGGAAAATCAATGACCCCCTGGGGCAGGGCCAATTTTGACCCCAGGGCTTTTATTTGAACAAACTTAGTAGACACTCACTAGAAGATGTTTCATGCCAAATATCTAAGCTCTAGCTCTTTGGGTTTTATAGAAGAAGATATTTAAAGTTTTTTCTTTTGGTTGCCATGGCAACCAGAGTTCTGCATGGAATTAAATTCTTTGAACAATTTTTAAAGGTGACCACCAAAGAAACATTCCTGTGAAGTTTGGATGAAATTGGCTTAGTGGTTTATGAGGAGATGTCATTTAAAGTAAAAGTTTACGGACGACGGACAACGGACGGACGCCGGAAGAAAAGCGATCACAAAAGCTCACCCTGTCACTTTGTGACAGGTGAGCTAAAAAAGGACACCTAAAATTCAATAGAAATTGTCAGTACATGTAATTACACAATCTTGTTTATAAACATTTTTCTGTGAAACGAATATTTCCAACCAATTTACAACATTTTTGATCCAATTCCTGGAACTAACCAGTACTGGTGTCTTACAAGGAAATATGGTTATGACCAAAGTATGACTTAATTTTACAACTCCTGGGTGGACAGTCAGACACTTTAAACACTAGGACACAGTTCTCCCCTTTAACCTTTACAATAATTTCAGATAATAGCAATTTTTGTTTAGTTTATACAAATTTATTTTAGTTTGATTGTGTTGGAAGCTATAAGCTTATTGAAACACTCCCGAATCCGTTCCTGGAACCAACCAGTGCTAAGCAATAAATTGTTTTAACACCAATTTTCAGCAATTATTGACTACATATTTTAAAGGATATATATTTTTCCTTCCTGGTCACCAGTGTACACAGTAGACCTATCTGCAGTCAGTGCCATGGCAGTTATAGCTTTGTTATGACCCTTAAATATAAAACAATCAAATTAACCCACAGCCTGTTGCCAGTGCCGACAAAGCTCAGCTGGCACATCCCTGTCATCTGATTATTGTCCGCACAGTTCGCTTTTATATCTGCAGTCTTCCAATATAACAAATGATCAAAGAAATATAATTTTTATGTTTAAGTTCAAACATATTTATTTAAGTTCAATCCTGACAATTTATATTAATCACTTTTAAGACCACTTCATGGGACTAACTAGAACTGGTGTCATATAAAGAAAACATGATCAAAGTAGGGCTAGAACAAGATATCCAAGATTAGAGGCCAATACCTTTACCTCTAGACCACCAGTCCAACACTTAACCATTTGAAGGGGTCAGTGCAAGAAGGTACCTAACTCCAATTAAGGGTAAAATTGAGTTAGGACCTTTGTGATTTAAAGAACATTTTTTAGAATTAGAATAACCTCCCTTTGTTACTCACTTCTTTGTTTTTAAGGTGAAAATGGTTCTTGGCGGAACTTAACAAAGATCCTAACTCCAGAGGTGGAGTTGGTACTTTTGTTACATTAATTCTATCCATGTTTTCTTGTTTTGAGGCGAAAAAAATATATGAAAATGTGATTATATTTTGATTTTATGTCAATATGTGCATGAAAATTTACAACAATGTTTCATTCTATGTCTTGTCAAAATAATTTGCAGAAATGTTCATTTGTGTGAAAATTATTACAAATATTATTATGTGAATTTTGTGTTCATGGAGATAGTACCTTTGTTGCATATATACCATATTTATCCCTTTTTAAAATTTGCATGCAGACATTTAAGTCTTATAGATATTGTTTAGAGATTTTCTATACATTCATATCACCATAAAATTAATTAAGAGGAAAATTTAAGCATTTAGGATGCTTTGGGAAGTTATTGTTAATAAATTGTATAAATATTTTACTTTTTAGCGACAAAGGCATGTTCTGGTACCTTTTGTTTGATTTTTCGAGACCATATTCTGAGATATTGAAACTATACAGCTACAGGTGATGTATTTTATAATACTTGTAACTTTAGTCTAATGAAAATATGTTTGTTACAGTTCCTTTACGCAATGTTTTTGATAACTGTTTTTAAAGTTATCCGTGTTTGCAGTTTGCACATGGAATATATATTCTGAATTATTGAAAACAAAACTTTTATTTGTAAGTTAAGGTTGAATGTTAAAGTTTTGTTTCTTTCTATGAAGAATATATGTTTAGAACTTATAATGTTTTTGTTTCCTATAGTCAGTCAATTAATCAATTAATAAATCAATCAAATATTCATCAATTTATCAACTAAAGAATGTGTAACAAATACAAACTATACAATTGATGATTTGTTTGATACGCCTTAAGTTTTTTAAGCTTAATATTAATCTGCAAATACATTAGGGGTTATATGATAACCTTTTAGTTGATTGAAAAGTTTAAAGATATGTAACTTTTAAGCTAAAATACTTTATGCAAATGTTTTAAAAGTTACAAAGGTCCTAACTCCATAGGATTTAGAACCGTTTTTGCATAAGCACATTTGATAAATATAACTTTTCTTTAAATACAAGAGTGATCAGTGATCACATGACTGTGTCGCCTCATGATGGCCAATTTCATGTTGGGACAAGTTTTGTGACAGACAGACGGACAGTGCACAACTAGACTTGGTACTGATCATTCCAGTAAAGTTTGGATAAAATTGCCTGAGTAGTTTATGAGGAGTAGTCCGGACAAGCTTTTTTGTATCTGGCAACACACAGAAAAAAACACCTTTTTATCAAAGGGCCATAACTCGGCCAAAAATCATTCAACCGGAAAACCCGTGCAATATGCACAAGGACTTGAGTTACAAATCAATCCTGTGAAGTTTCATTGAAATTGCATAATGGTATAAGAGAAGTAGTCCGGAAAAACTTTAAAAATAAAAATTATTAAAGGGCCATAACTCTGACAAAAATCATTGAACCGGAAAATGCTGACAATATGCACAACTAGACTTGGTACTGATCATTCCTGTAAAGTTTGAATGAAATTGCACCAGTAGTTTATGAGGAGTAGTCCGGACAAGTTTTGTGACGGACGGACAGACGGACAGACAGAAGACGGAGAAGTGATCCCTATGTCGCCACTACTCCGTAGAGGCGACACAAAAATGGTTAAAAATTGTGTAAAACATAAAACTTTGGTTTCAAATGTTTTTTTATTAATAACAATACTTATTAGTGAATTAATTTTAAAATATTTCAATTAAAACTGAAATTTCATAAAATGTCATTTTTCTCAAAATGATGTTAAATAACCTTAGGTACCATCTTGCACTGACCCCTTCATTTATCAATGCTTAAATATCAACTGACAATAATAATATCTTTCTTCTCATTAGTAAATGATAAGGTATTAAACTAGAACATGTTTTATTGTTGAGTTTCAAGTCACACTGACAGTGTTTAAACTTTCTTGGTTTAGGAAGACCTCAGTTGTACCTTTGAGCATCATTTCAGGCACGAGCCTTCACCTGAGTAGAACCCCCAATGTTCTGTAAGCTGGCTGGATAGCTTCCTCACATGAAAGAATCTAAAGGCCTTGGCAGGATTTGATTCAACAGCAGTGAGGGGCAACTGTTTTGAAGTAAATGACCTTCACCACACACACACACAGACACCTCTCATGCCGGGACAAGAAAAGTACCTTCTCAAAATAGTTTTATAAAAATAAAGTGTATACCTTTTGTATTTTCTTAGGTTTTGATGGGTTGTTTCTGTCTAAGTAGTTGATATATCCACTTAAAGATACTGTAATAATATGTTCCCCTTGCCACAAACATCCAAGCTGCATATCCTCTATATCATTTCCCATTGGAAATTCTCTAAATTATAGCAAATCAACACATTCATAAATAAGAATGTTTTTTATAAAACACATAATTTATTTATACTCATTTTAATATTGGTATATTTGTAGAGGGAAAGTAAAAACTGGGAAGATATGTTTCTTAAACAATTAAAGAAGACCTGTAGCAAACCTTTGGTGGGTGTTCAAAGTTTGACTCCTGGTGGGGTTTGAAACAATAGTGACGAGAGGTTAATTGATAATTCCTAGTAAAATAGAAATTTGGAACACCCTCTTGAGGTATAAATTTTGCTCAAACCACTTGATATCTCAAATATTTGTGGAAATGAGTGTTACACCAAGTGCTCTTTTTTATACTGAGAGCATTGAAGTTTTAAAATCACATCATGGAATGCCAAAATGTAACATAGATTTGGTTGAAGATACTATGTACATTTGTATAATGAAATCCAACCTTTACCACTGATTCAAACACTATTTGCAGAGAAATGGCCTGTTACTTGAACAACAATGGTTGATTACTGGTATAGAATTAGGCAACTATGTGCTTAACACTTACCCCTCCTGGAACCAAAAGTGAAAGAGTAGAGCCAGGCCAGCCTGAGCATCTGTGCAGCTTGACAAGGCTTTATACGAAAATATTCAAATCCCTTAAACTTCTAAATTCAGAGTAGGGCAAATCCATATAAATTTAGCAGATTATGGGTTTACTGCTTGCCAGTAGAACTAAAGCTAAGACATAACAAAATGGAAGATTAAGTTTACAAAGTGTGTCTTTAGTTTGACCAGGGCTTTTCTTCTATAGCAGGGGCCGTGTAAGGGCAGCTTCCCCCAAAAATTGAATTTACAACAAAGTTTTTTCTTCCCCTTTTGCAAATATACCGTATTATTATCCTCAAAAATTAAAGGCAGGGCTGCTTCCCCATCCTATGAAACAAGAACCAGTTGATGCTCCCGAGTAGGTTTTGGACACAGAAAAGTGAACAAAGAGCAATAACTCCAAAATTAGGCAAGGCAGAGTTATGGTTCTTTGCATTGCACTGAACTATTCAATCAGATCTATCTACCTACAAAGTTCCATGTTGATATCTCTTGTAGTTTTAGAGTTATGTCCCAGAAAAAGTTCAAAGCGTAAAAATAAACAAAGGGCAATAATTAAACTAGAAATGTGTCATCATGCCACGGATGCCCCCGCATGCAGCCAAAATTTCAGATGGTGCATTAATTATTTTTTTCATTTTAAGTTCAAAGCCCTTAAAACTTTTCAATGTTAACACAAACCATTTTCATACAATGTTCAAGGCACTGAAATTATTCAGTCTTAACGTTTTAAAAATAGCATATTGCATATTTGTAGCCAAAATAATGGCTAAAGTATGAGTGCTGAAACTGAAAGTTCAAAATTTTTCCAACATTCAGGAAAGATAAGTTTGTCTAAAATCATTGAACCACGACCAAATTCAAACATAAAGTGCTTATTCCTAAGATGTATCTATATTGTTTTCAAAGTGAAAGGGACATAACTCTGCCAAAAAATCATCAAACCATGACCAAATTCCAACTTGACCTGCCCATTCCTTTGACATATCCATATGTCAAATTTAAGTTGAATATGTAACACTGTTGGGTAGATAATGAACAGAAACTATAAATTTAATATTATTTTCAAAGTGAAAGGGGCATAACTCTGCCAAAAATCATTGAACCATGACCAAATTCGAACTTGGCCTGGGCATTCCAAAAACATATCCATATGTCAAATTTGAGTTGAATGTGTTGTACCATTGGGGAGATAATAAACAGAAACTGAAAATTTCATATTACTTTTAAAGTGAAAGGGGCATAACTCTGCCAAAAATCATTGAACCATGACCAAATTTGAACTTGACCTGCGCATTCCTTTGACGCATCCATATGTCAAGTTTGAGTTGAATGTGTTGTACCATTGGGGAGATAATGAACGGAAACTGAAAATTTCATATTGTTTTCAAAGTAAAAGGGGCATAACTCTGCCAAAAATCATCGAACCATGACCAAATTCAAACTTGACCTGTATTTTCTCATGACATATCCATATGTCAAGTTTGAGTTGAATGTGTTGTACCGTTGGGGAGATAATGAACGGAAACTGAAAATTTCATATTATTTTCAAAGTAAAAGGGGCATAACTCTGCCAAAAATCATCGAACCATGACCAAATTCGAACTTGACCTGTATTTTCTCATGACATATCCATATGTCAAGTTTGAGTTGAATGTGTTGTACTGTTGGGGAGATAATGAACGGAAACTGAAATTTCATATTATTTTCAAAGTAAAAGGGGCATAACTCTGCCAAAAATCATCGAACCATGACCAAATTCGAACTTGACCTGTATTTTCTCATGACATATCCATATGTCAAGTTTGAGTTGAATGTGTTGTACCGTTGGGGAGATAATGAACGGAAACTGAAATTTCATATTATTTTCAAAGTAAAAGGGGCATAACTCTGCCAAAAATCATCGAACCATGACCAAATTCGAACTTGACCTGTATTTTCTCATGACATATCCATATGTCAAATTTGAGTTGAATGTGTGCAACCGTTCTTAAGATAATGAACGGAAACTGATGATGACGGAATGACAGAATGACGGAAGGACGGAATGACGGAACAGGGTAACATGGCGGGGGCATAAAAATAGGCAAGGTAGAATTATGGTTCTTGTGCACTGCACATCTACTCAATGAGATATATCTACCTACAAAGTTTCATGCTGATATCTCTTTTTGTTTCAAAGTTATGTCCCGGACAAGAATAGCGGAGGGATGGAAGGACGGACAGACAAACAAAGCGGCCACTATATGCTCAACCTGTGGGGAGAAAAAGCCCTGTTAACTTACACAACAAGTTCCCTGGAAGCAACATTCCAAATCCTGGCAGTCTTATCTCCAGAAACTGTCAACACCTCACTGCCGTCATCATTGAAATCAACCTGAAATAAAAACATAACTGCCAATTTATCACAAAACAGGCATGTTACATATGGTCAGTCTCATAATATTGAATACCTACTGTTGACTAAATGATTAATGCAGATAGTACTCAGATTTTTTTTTCATTTTCTTATCTGACCTTGAACCTCGGCATTTGACCTGAGCCAGGGAAATTTGAATATTCAGCACCACACTCTGCCTTACGATGTTGAACATTTTGTGCCACGATATACAACAATCCCTATATGAAAGTAGAAATTTCACATTAAGACAAAGTGTTTTCCTTTGAGTTCTAAGTGTGACCTTGACCTTTTACCAAGGGATTTTGTGTTTTCATATGTACAACACATCTAATGATGGTGAACATTTGTGTCAGGAACATTGAAATACTAAGATCCCTACTATTATATAGAAGATATACTCCATACAAAATCTTTACATTTATCACCTTTTGTGACCCTACTGACCTTAACCTTGCATATATTGACTTGACTACAAAATTTAGTATACCCTTCTTTTTTCAGTTGACTTTTGACCCCATGTGTGACTTCAGCACATCTGCAGATGTTTCAAAATTGTACCAGTTCATGTTAAATGTTGAATTCTGCTTAAGACGATGCGAGGGGGCGTGGACGGTACTTTGCACTTGACAGTACTGTCCATGAACATGCTCAATCAAACTGAGCCTGCAACATTTTCAATTTGCCATGTTGGGCTTTTTTGGGGGGTTCTAATTTTCTCTATTTCATGCACCTGATCAAAAGGACCCAAATTTTGTGCTTGACACACCACCATACAATGGTGAAAAATTGTGGGAAGTTACATTGTAGAAGTTTTCTTCCAGACAAATATTATACTCTGACCTCTAAGTGAACCTTTACCTTTGACCTAAAGACCTGGTCAATTCCCATAAAATTATGCCTCACAGTGGTAAACCAAAAAAAAAAAGGTCTTTTTTTCCTGTACTTATAAAATTAATTTAGACTTGATCAAAATGAGGAAAACTTCCAGGCACTGCAAATAACATGACATTCACTGGTCACGTTTTTTTTTTTTAATTTAGTACTCAAACGGAGTTTCTAATTTGTTTCAGGTTTATTACTTTCACCTTCTACAAGTAGCAGCGACGCTTACCTTTCTGAAAACAAAATTAAAGCAGCCTTTGCCCTTAGTATAAAGCTATGCCAGCTTGCAAATCCATACAGTCTGACTAGGCTACAATTATTGCTAGCTCAACTTTTCTATTCTACATTAAAATCCCTTAATTTTCAAACAGACTGTTCCAAATACAAAGCAGGGCAAATCCATTGCACAAATTCTGCAGGTTTAATGTTAAAAGGCTAACAAAGCTTCCCTTCCATTTCATCAACAAGTAAACATTTATTACTTACTGAATAAATTCCACCATTATGTGATGTTTCTCCACCAAGAACACCTAGAAACTCAGCTGTCTTCCCATCATAAACACATGCCTTTGAAATAAAGTAGTGAATACAGTTTTATTGTCTATGGACATGACACAAAACATTTTGTACATGAAATAATACAGCTCACCAGTTTCAGAAAATTCTGTTTGCACATGGCTTATTTTTCTTCTACAAAATATGCACTTGATAAACCTTGGACTACATGTTTGTTTATAATTAAGCCGCGTCACGACAAAACCAACATAATGTGTTTGCGACCAGCATGGATCCAGACCAGCCTGCGCATCCGCACAGTCTGATCAGGATCCATGCTGTTCGCTTACAAACTCTATTACAAATAGAGAAACTGATAGCGAACAGCATGGATCCTGATCAGACTGCGCGGATGCGCAGGCTGGTCTGAATCCATGCTGGTCGCAAAGCCATTATGTTGGTTTTGTCATGACACAGCTCATATATTCTCAAAGTTTCAAAGTGACATTAAATAACCAAAAGTCTAAACTTCATTAACTCTATAAGATTCAAACTTGGGACCTTAAAGCGGCAAATCCAGTTATAAAACTTCAGCTGTTAATAAGAAGTGAATACAATAACTTACCTTCTTATCAGCACTAACAGATATGAACACATCGCCTTTAGGATGATAGCGTACACATTGCACAAAGTTTGAATGTTCCTGAAAATAGTCATTAGTTATAACAAGAGGGCCATGATGGCCTTGAGTCGCTTACCAGAAACAAGTGCTTTCCAGTGTTGGAAATTATCCATTGTCAATATTTCTAATATTAAATTTGAGCATAGTCTTTAAGAATATGTTTAAACAATAATTTGAAAAAATGCCATGACCTGGGGCTTTTAAGCTTTAGCTTAAATGGGGCCAATCAAATTAATATGAGCAAACTTGATAAAAGACTACCAAAGAATGCTACAAAGTTTGCTGACCATCTACCAATTATTTCAGTAGGAAATGATGTTCAAGGTTTTTTTCTATTTTTAGCTTTAGTGGCCCCTAAAAGGGGCTAATCAAATTAATATGAGCAAACTTGACAAAAGAGTATCTAAGAATGCTACAGACAAAGTTTTGTGATCATCCATAAATTAGTTCTGTAGTAGAAGATGTTTAAAGGTTTTTCTATTTTTAGCTCTGCTAACCCCTAAAAGGGGCCAATTGAAATGACATGCACAAATTCAAGTGTGACTGTCACAAGGATGTTTCAGACCAAATTTGAAGTAAATCTGCCCAGCAGTTTCAGAGAAGAAGACGATTGTTGACGCATGATGACAGACAACGGACACCGGAGCATCCACCTTTGATACTAACAGCTCACCATGAACCTTCGGTTCTGGTGAGCTAAAAACATGTAAAAACATTTGCTATTGTTTGGCAATATTTACCCAAGACATTTGAATATTCAATGACCTTTTGTCAGAATTTGTCAGATTCAAAATTAAACCATACAGATTTTTATGTATGGTATAACCGTATAACTTAATATTACAGCATTACATTTGACTTACTAGCCTCGGTAACCAGGTGTTAGACTTTCAGTTATTTTCAAATGTAGATGTATGTATGAATCAATAATTTTTTTCTTGTATGACTTTTTATCATATTTTGCAGAACTTGACACTGATACATGTGAATCACTCATTGCACAAAACTAATGACAAAACTCCCGAAAATTATTGAGTCTCAGGTCAATATTGACAAACAATACATTTTACATGATAGAATTAGAACTGATTCTAGAATAAATACCTATAGTTTCTTAATAATTACATACATACTAAAATTTATCTTTACAAATATTACCAGATTAAGACGTCACAATGCCACAAAGATACATCACTTTACATTTAATCAGTACAAATCTTAGAGAAGAGGACAGGGGTTTCCTCCAACTTGCAGTGCCACTCCCAAGTGTGATCGAATGTGGGTTTGTTAGGGTTTACAAGTAACTGATGCATATAAACTAGTAAGAAAAAAACCTACCCTCTTCGATTCCACATATTTAAATGGTACCCCATTATAAAACTGGGTGGTAAAATCTTCACTGGCTGTAACAGCTTTGAAAGGACGTTCTTGTCTGATTGCCACAGAATTTACAGATTTATTATGACCACTCATATCCCCACAGGAACTCCCAGAATCCCACAGGATGCATTTTGCATAGCTGAAAAAGTAAAATAAATATTATGTGCATACTTGACAGTTAAAACTGCATATCTCCAGGAGTTCACAAAGTTTTTAAAAAATCAAACTTGACCTTTACCAAACTAAAAATCTTAAATAAACTAGTCCATCTTTCAATCTGGACAAACTCATTCATCGTATTTAGGGAAAATTTAAAATAGGTATTTATTAAATAGAAAACAGTGCAGACTATGATCACACATCATGTACATGTCTGTTGATCTTGGTCACATACATGTACTAACATAGGTAGATTTGATTGCTAAGAGTTACTGAAAAAAAGTTAAATGTTAAAGAAATATACATATTACTAGTAAGTGAGTTACATGACATAAGCTATACCACAATGCACATTTTTCATTTTTTTATGGAAAATAAGTTAACCTTAAATATTTTATCGCCATATTTCTACATTTGTATCCAGCCCAATATGATTTCTATCCAGCAACCTACTGAGTATAGCATAATACAATATAGAGAACTGTTTCTGACCTTATACCTTGGGCTAGACTAAAACACTTAACTTGTATATAAAACAACATGAACATGAAATTCAAAATTAATTTGAATCTTTGGAACTACTCATTTACAGTTGTGAATTATTTTCTTGTACAAGAAACAAAATAACAAAATAATCTTTTTCTTAGGTATCTTGTTACAGTTTCCAAAAATAACTCATTTGCCATAAACATAAACTATCTTATGCTGATTTTTTTATGTTGGAAACTGGTATAATTATAGTGATTTAGTATTTTGTATAGAAGTCAAAATGCTATTTTGTTTACATTTTGCTACCTTTACAACACTATGGAACAGAATTAATGCATTTATTCTATCTTGCTTGATGACATTGGAACTTGCATTATGCTTAATTCCATCTTGCTTGATGACATTGGAACTTGCATTATGCTTAATTCTATCTTGCTACATGACATTAAAATTTGCATTATGCTTGATTACATCTTGCTTTATGATATTTAAACTTTGCATTATGCTGGATTCCATTTTTCATTATTTCATTCAAACATTTCGTAGTGACCAATTCTTTCATTGAGTGATAACTATTAAACTGGAACAAGTTATTTGGAATACTAAAATGTTAACGTCATATACCTTTATGTATAAGCTACCTTTCTTCATGCTCTATACAAACCATTTACGGTTTAATTTTTTTGTATTACTTTTATGTAGAAGTCATTTAAAATTGACTATTTTTTGTTCCCTGATAGATTTTGTTAAAATGTGACTTATTTGATTTATAGCTCGCATGGCGTGATTACTATTAGCTTTCGCTTATATCCATTATTCAGTGTTTATGCTTAATAAAGCTCGGTGTCTGAGGCTTTGTGGATTATGTTTGATCATCTTATCTTACATTATGATAAACAATTTAAACTATGTCTAGCGATTTGTGAACTGCTAAGGGGCGAGAACTCTGTTATCGATATCAACGGAATGTTTCCACGATTCGCCTATCATCGGAATTTTCCGTATAGATACTGCGTACATGTATATATAAATACGTACTAAGCGCTTAATACATGTAAATTGCAGTTGAAAGAATATAAATACAAATATTAAAGGATTATGCAATATAATTTTATATATGTATACAGTCTTATAGAAAAAATATGCTCGTAAACAGTTATTCAATGGGGCAGTTACACTTTAAGTGGCGCATTCAGGCCCTGGCTTAAGGGCTGCACCTACCCCCAAATATACGTTCATGAGCTGGAATGGAATATATACGTGTCAGTTTCATGCAATAGTCTTTCTTAGTGTACTCCCTTACAAAAACATATTATGCTGTCATCCAGTTGTTAAGCACCTGTCTATAGGTACTGCGAAGGTCTTTATCGAATGACTTGGACATTTAAAAGCAAATGTTATTGGCCTTTTAACTTAATAAATGTCTCAGAGTCACTAATAGTGGCGAATAGGTATGTAACACATTAAGACATACATGTATAATGAGGAAAGAAGGAAGTTGTTTATTTTTGTAATATGTGCATAGTCAATTACAAATGAGCCGCGTCACGACAAAACCAACATAACCAGCCGACAACCGACAAGACCAGCCTTCGCGTCCGCGCAGTCTGATCAGGATCAATACTGTTCGCTATCGGTTTCTCTACTTGAAGCGAACAGTATGGATCCTGATCAGACTGTGCGGACGCGCAGGCTGGTCTGGATCGATGCTGGTCGCAAACCCATTATGTTTGTTTGTCTTGACGCGGCTCAAATGTTGGGCAAATGTGTGTCTGATTATAGATCAGACATCCCGCACACACCACCACATTCACATACATTTGTGCTTAATGATATACTATGCACATCTTTCAGTAACATATTTTTATCACAGAAATTTATTGAAATCTATAAAATTCTTACTAATTATGTTTTATTTAAATAAAAACACATACACATAATGTATAGGAATCTGCTTTCCTTATTACGGGTCAAGTAAAGTTGTGTATGTCTTCAAAAGAAACTTCCATATATTTTTTGTAATAATACTATACATGTATATTCATACTGCAAAGGATTTAAAGCACAATATTTGTGTGAAGCCAAATTATACTTATTTTATATAACAGAAAAAAAATCAAGTTTGTACTGTACTAAGTCGTGGCCACGAGTTACTAAGTCGTTTAAGTCGTGGGAACGAGATAACTATGTCTTGCAGAAGAGATAATTAAATCAGATTACACAATAATTTTCTAAACTTAGAAAATTTCTGTTTAAAGATTTACGTCCAACATTAATCTTTGAAAATACTGAAGTGTTCACTTTGAACTTGATACATGTATTTAGGATCATAAGGCCCATAAATCAGACATTAATTTTGACAATGTTATAGCCCTTTGTTGGGACAATTCTATTATAGACTTGGTCATTTTGTTCGTACAACGGCCTGTTAACATTGTTTATACCATAACTTGAGAGGGACTTAGTCCTGGTTTGTTTTATTGGGTAGGAACATTGCCCATGGACAGTAGATATCCTATAAGGATGTTTGAGGTCACGGGTCAGATAAACTTGACACATGTAAAATCCTTGTCTGATGAATGATTTAGAAAGAATAAGCCGTAGTTTATAAAACCTAAAAAGATCAGTAGATGACACCTAATATTTTTTAGGCAATTTGGTCAGAAATCAGGGTCACAATGACGCTAAAATTTTGACCATTCAATAACTTGTATAAAAGGCACTTTTACGGACAGGAAAAGTAGGGAAAATTCATATAAATAGTGTAATTTGATTGGTTATTAACTCGTTCGCACGACTTAACTTTATCGTGGCCACGACTAAACTTTCTCGTGGCCACGACATAGTAACTTGTTCCAACGATTTATTTATCTCGTGGCCACGACTTAGTAACTCGTGGCCACGACTTAGTCATCTCGTTCCCACGACTTAATTATCTCGTAGCCATGACTTAGTAACTCGTGGCCACAACAAAGTATCTCGTTCCCACGACTTAACTATCTCATGGCCACGACTTAGTAACCCGTGGCCACGACACAGTATCTCGTGCGCACGAGATAAATAAAACCTTTGTGCCACCGTAAGTATCACACACGCTCAAAAAGAAGTGTTAACAATTGTATAAGAGGTGAGTTGCCACTTGTAGGATGAGTTATTAGAGAAATCTATAACATTTTTTTTCCACATGCTGACGGAATCTTTAAAAACACGCACTTTTCGTCTGTCGCATCGTGTTCTCTTGTTTTTCAGTAAATTTCCCCTTTACATGTCAGGCTCCAACTAACACTGTTCTGTATACGTCCCTGTATAAAGGGGACGTAACTTTGTTTACTCGACGTGCCATAATACGGGATCATCCGGAAAATAACGGGATGTACCGACAAAGCGACACCTGCTGTCATAATATGAACACAAATTATTGCAACTCGCATTATGCTTACTGCCAACTGCTTAGTGCGTACTGTCACATGCGACTATAATATCGCTATCGTTGTCATCTTCGTTGTCGTTGCGCAGTGATCATGTACTGCATTATATTTGTAATCAGTGAATATATTGAAGCATATGAATGCTAAGACACATCAAACTCGCCAATTATTGATCAAAATTAATAATTTATTGTGACATAATGTCGACAATATAAGTGGCAGATTTATAGCAAATTAAAGGTACTGACATAAACTTACCATGTTACATATAGTAATATCAAGAACAAGCAAAGAATGTTATCTTAAACACCACACATAATACGTTGTCCTTTATAAAAGATGCAATTAAACATAAAGCATGTTAAAATATGTGAGTTTGATGGTTTAGTAGGGAACACATAAGGTTGCAATTACATGAAAGTGCATTCAGTAATCATAAGGCATGATTGAATTCAGCAAAACGCAGGTTTTCATTGTCATAGAGAAGTATAGAAGCAAGCATAATGTAAGTTCCGATATCATTAAGCAAGATGGAATAAATGCACTAATTCTGTTCCATACAACACATTACTGCATGTTCAGTGCTATTTCTTCACTTGTTTAACATCTAACATGCTCTTAAACCATTATCAAACATTATTTAAACACATGCTTGACATATCTAAATAATTAAAAAATATGGATCTGACACATAAGAAATTCAGCAGGTTAAGGTTAAAACACTCAAAGCAAGAATGTTACCATAAAACATTTTACTTGCATTTGCATTCTTTTCCACGTCTTGATATATAAATTGATATATTCACATTGTCATTCATGACCTCGACTGCCACGACCTAATTGATTTTGACAGGTTTGTGTGTCAATCAAGTTAGCAATCGTCATAATTTCTGTCTGACAATCAAACATTCAAGTTAATGACATCCAACACTGTACAAGTTATTTGTTATAATAATCAAAATCCAGCAATAACAGTATGTTTGGACAGTTGCTTATGCTCCAACCAATCACATGTCTTCTTAAATGTTAAATTTTACTTCAATAAAATGTTGAAAAAAATCACTCACATAAAGTATATTTGTGTAAAGTTAACAGGTTAGTAAAGGTATTACAGTTCTATGAATAATGTTAATGTTATGTTCAGCTGGCTAATTCTACACTGCTGGACACTGTAACCACTTCTTAGTTGTTTTTGCAAATATGCCAGTTTTGTTTGTTTTGTTTTTATGGATTTTAAGTCACACCTACACAGTTAATATTCCAGCTTGATACTAAAGGAGAAAAATCTCAGGTGTACCTCTGTACGTTATTTCAGGCACAAGCAGGCATCTGCGTAGAATCACAGACCTAACATCAGGACCACACACTTTAATTTAAGCTACCTATCTTTAGATCTACCAAGATGGACATGCACAAAATATTTAGAAAAGAACATAAACCTTTCCCTCCCTTCTCCAACAATAGCCATTCTTTTGCTTTCACCATCCCATGCCAGATCCTTCACTGCTCCACCTAGTGGCTGATACTCAAATTTCAAAATATTTTCTGGGTTTGTTGTGTCCCAAATCCTAATTTTCCCTGAATTATCTAAAATGCAAAAAACAATAATGTGAAATCAAGCATATTCAATGTTCTATTCAAAATGTTATCTTAGTTAATCATTTTCACCCTTTCAAATTCATTGGCTTAAGATATAATAAAGCTAAACTGAAAGCAACTGTTGTTTAATTAAAATCTAACCCTTGTAGATTTTTTTAATGGACTTGTTGAGCTTCCATTTTTGAAGGGGTTAGTAGTTTTCACTTTGAATCATGGCACTAAGCCACAGTGATTTTTTTGGACTTCCAATCATAATCTTTATAGGTCTTTCAAGATAAAAAAAACGAAGATAATCAAGCTATGATATAGAGCCTGTTCAGACTGCACAGATATTTAGGTTTTCATTACATTTAATTTAAACTTAAACAATTAAGTAAGTGATAGCAATTACTCTTTGAACAGTTTACTTTAATTCATTTGAGTAGCATGTTATCATAATCTATATAAAACATAAGTTAAAGTCTTCTGTAAAATACCTCCAGAGGCAATGTAAAACCCAGTTGGTGCAAACTTAGCCACTGTAGCTGGACAAGAATGATCGGAGTACACCAAACATTGTGTGGCATCCTGAAATGATAGAGCAAATAATTAACTGACATGCTTAATTTATAATCACAAGATATCAATGAGATATCAGTTGTTGAACCAAACTGACGCCTTATGAGTTCAGGGCATGAAGAATGGTCACATGATCTTGGTATAATGTGATCATCATATAATTTACAAGACCCCAAAATCATTTAAATAGTTATTCCTTAAAATTAAAGCAAAGCAAAGTTAAGGAATGTACTTTTCACAGACTGGAACTTGTAAACAGTAAAGAAACAGTTCAAAGGCTATATACTTACATTCAGATTTCTGACATATACATTATTTCCATTACAATACAGCAGATTTCCAGGTTTTAATCCTTTGTTCAAATTCTTTGTCGGATCTCCACTTAAAACAACAGGCAACCCTCTCGTTGTCTTTGGCAAGGAGGCAAATGTGCTTTCTGTAGCAGAAAAAGTTTGTTATTTGATCAGGTAAAATATATCTGAATGATCTAACAGTATTACCACACAAAGTTACCTTCACTTAATTACTTTTCATTCTAGCATTATTGTATTTTTCAATTAAAAAAAACAACAATGTTTTTAATATTAATTGTATTTTTGGTGTTTAGATCTTACTAAACATGCTAAATGACATTTGTTTTTCAACGGCTAAATAGAATACTCATAGTATAAAATTTCTGACTGTATTTAGTTGTGTACAACTATAATGTCTGTGACCAAATTAATTTAAGCCAAATATCTGTATCTGTATCTGTGAGGGTATGTCGTAAAGACCAAAATCTGGCTTTAAAAGACGGTGAAGGGAGTGTGTCCTAGTCACAAAGTTTTATAGAGTTTTTAAGTTGTTGGACTGTTGATGAACACACTTGAGAGTCACTTAATTTATTCCAGTCTAACACTGTTCTGATGAAGAAAGAATTTTTGTAGTTTTCTGTTTTTACATATACTGGTTTGTAACACTTTTGATTATTACACACAGATTTTTCCACAATATTATCACTTATATAGTCTTTATATGATTTAGCTCTTACAGATCGTCTAGTGCCCTGAGGAGTTAGGTATTCTCGTATGTTAATTGCCGGTACTTGCCCTTCCACTACCTTGTACATGAAAGTAAGCCGGTGTAGTCTTCTGCGCTCTTGGAGGCTTGGTAATTCCAATTGTTCCAGCATTGATGTAACGCATCCTGGATCCCTAGAAGTATAGTTATTTGTAATAAATCGAGCGGCTTGCCTTTGTATACGTTCAAGTTTGTCAATTTCGTTTTTGGTATAAGGGTCCCAGATAGTGCATCCGTATTCTAATTTGGAGCGGACTAGGGCTAGGTAGGCATTTTTGCGGCATGGTTTAGGACAATGGCGTAAGTTCCTTCTTAAGAATCCAATAGATGAGTTAGCTCTTTTACAGATGTTACAAATATGTGTTGACCATTTCATGTCATACGAGAAAGTGATACCAAGGTAAGGATTGACTTGAACTTGTTGAAGTATGTTGTTATCAATGTTGTAGAAATGCATCGATTTTGACTTCGACATCAGCAGGTAACATTTTTTTGAGTTAAATTTCATCCCCCATGTAGATGCCCAGGTTTGGAGATTGTCTAGGTCTTTTTGAAGTTGGAGATTGTCTTTTTGGGACTTGATCTGGCGATATAGTAAGCAATCATCAGCAAACAACCTCACTTGTGATTTTACATGGTCCGGAAGATCGTTAATATGTAGTAAGAAGAGCAATGGTCCGAGCACTGTACCCTGTGGGACTCCAGAGCCCACATTTACTGACGATGATTGTTCGCCTTCTACGACTACACTCATCTTGCGCTGCATCAAGAAGTTGGCGATCCAAGTATGTAAGTTTCCTCTGATGCCAAAGGAGTGAAGTTTATGAAGAAGCTTTTTGTGGGGAACAGTATCGAAAGCTTTACTAAAGTCCAAAATGATGGTGTCTACTTGTGCGTTATTATCGTACATGGATAAAAGATCATGAGTGGTGACAATTAGTTGTGATTCACATGAGAAGCCGCTTCTGAATCCGTGATTCAATGACGTAAGTGCTTTGTATTTATCCAGATGATTCAAGATGTGCCGACAAATAATGTGTTCCAGTAGTTTGGAAAGAATACAAGTTAATGATACAGGTCGATAGTTTAAATATTGACCATATATCAAATTAAATTCTAGCTAGTTAAGTGAAAGCTGATATGTGATATTAACTGTTATAGTGGTGTTATACATACTTGTTTCACATATCACAAATACAACATTCTTAAGGAATGTATCATTATGTTTCTGGTTATTAAAAATTCAACTTATTATTGAAGATGAACTTAAAATTCTGAAAATTAAATTAAGGGTTCATGCTAGCCAAGGAAAGGGAAGTGACAATTCCCTTTAGAACACAAAACGTTATACAGACAGTGAATAACATTGAATTAAAATTTTGACAATGATATATTGATATCGAAAATTATAACAACAAAAGAAGAGGATTACATTTTGACATTAACAAAAATTTAGCTTTAAAGAGTAACAAAAATAACAGGGTTTTAAGAAACGGCCAATAAACAAAATAAGTATTTAAGTATGTTTTAGAAACACTATAGTATGTGTACGTTTTGTTCAGGATCAGGTACTTCCTGTACCTCTCAATGTGGGTCGAGAGAATTCGAGGACGAATTAGATAAAACATTTCCGACGGTTTCTGGTTAAATATATGCCCCACAATAATTTTTTCTTCCGGTCTACACATCATTATTGGACTAAACCACTTTTTAATTATATGATACTGTTTGTAAAGCATTTTCTATGAATTTCAATTGGAATTAGATTGAGGATTTCCTACTTCCGGTTAATGAAACAAACTATAAGCCGTGAGAAATCAATTAGTTTTCTCTGTAACATGGCATGACATTCTTGAGTTCTAATATTATAGTTCGAAATATAACACTGAAATAGCTGTACTTACCTAATTTTATCTTATCCGACATTGTTAGGTCGTACTTGAAGTTTCAAAACTCTTGAAATGTACACCGGCCTTAACACGGAAGTAAACTTGTAATGCGCATGCGTGACATTGATGCCCATAAATGGACATTCTACTTTCGATTTGTCTAACACAGGCCCGAAAATTACCTAAAAAGGTTAGGTTTAATTTAGAATAGAATACTAGGGCTGTGTCATTGATGTTTTCGTTTTAAATTTAAAGAATGATCAGTGTTATTTTTTGGCAGGTCGATAATATGAGTCAATATAGATCGGGGCACACTAAATTTTCCAAACATGATATACGAACGTTACAGGTCTACCTGCAAACTCCTCGCAGCGGTTACTTCCCCTGATCTGTACAGTAACAGTTAAAGTAGCAAAGCGTGACGTAACCGCTGTGAGGAGTTTGGTCTACCTGCATAAATACTATTTATCACACACCCGTGCCGATTTTGCGACTCCGTAAATATGGTATTGCACGGTGGTGCATATATTTTGACGATTTATTGCACAAGTTGAATAAATTATATTATGCGAGCCTCTGGCGAGCATAATATTATTTTAGTCAACGAGTGCAATAAATTCAGTAATGAACTTACATGAATTTAAAATTCTATTTATCACATACCCAAAATAAAGACCGTTTAAAGTGAAAAAGAGTCATTTTTCATTGACGCGCAGGCCTATAGTACTATAACGCTAACATTTAGCGCGTCTTTACACGATGTTTGTATAACGCTAATGACGTCACGTCAAAATATATGCACGGCCGTGCAATACCATATTTACGGAGTCGCAAAATTCTCACGGTGTGTGATAAATAGAGGATATTGAATGAGTATAAGTTCAATACTGAATTTATTGCACGAGTTGAATAAATAATATTATGCTCGCCAGATCTACGCATAATATAATTTATTCAACTCGTGCAATAAATTCAGTATTGAACTTATACTCATTCAATATCCTCTATATATTAGCTAGGACTTATATTAAGTAATTTACAAACTCCTAATTATGAGTTATAGTTTCTTCTAAGAATATTTACATTTGTACTATGAAAATAATTAAATCCTTATTAATAACTCTTCCTTAATAAAAGTGGCAAAGTCCGTATTAGGCTTTCAAAGTTCAAGTTAGTTTTTTTTATAGGACATTAGATTTTGCACAAGGACGCTTCCATGTGAAAACGTTCTAAATTTGAAAGAGATTTTCGACCGTTCGACCATATGCACGCATCACAGAATTCCCCTTCTCATACAGAAAGGGACAGCTAGATAGCTGTCCGCCTCTTTCTTTGAAGATATGCTATTTTCTTCTTTTAATTAAAAAGGACTCCTTATTAATGAAAAGAGGAAAATGACATATTTAAGCAAGGAGGCGACTTTTCACAGTTATATGTCTTAGATTGGTATACTAAGCGGAAGATCAGTTTTCGCTATGAAATTTAGAAAAGAATAACAAGAAAAAAGCTCATTTTTCTAAGAAAATATTGGTATAATGATTTTTCTTCTTTTTTTTATGTATTATTTTATTTCTGCAAAACATGAAATGTGAAATGTATCTCAAACATATTTTAATACTCGTACGTTATCAATGGCTAAATTTAATCGGTGATTTCCGCCATCTATATTCGTGAGTCTTCGTGACGTCGACGTCATGACGTCACAATACGCGCTTAACAACGAACACAGTTTAGCTGCACGAACTTTTATTAATCGTTTACAGAAGATTATAATCATATGATAATGGACAAATCATCTGACGGATTATTAAGAAATAAAGGAACTTCACGTTCAATGTAAGAATAATGTATAATTATTTTTAACTGATTATGTATGGAATGCCGGTAGGGACATGCCAATTTGCTTATTTGCCAATTGCTGAATTGCTTATTTGCTAATTGCTGTTTTGCTTATTTGCCAATATCTGATAGGCTTAATGACAAATATGCTTATTTGCCAATTGCTGAATTGCTAATTTGCTTATTTTTTAGCCGCTGGTTTACGTATTTGCTTTTTTGCCGATTGCTAATTTGCTTTTTGCAAAAGAAATAGTTTACACTGTGCCGGAAGTATATGGAAAATCTGACTACAGACAACCAGTTGAGTCAGATCTGTTAACTTTTACCAACAGTATTCTTGTACATTTAGTGTTTTTCCAAGAATACTGTTGGTCAATGAATTTAGTTGCAGTGATGCCTAAGCAGATATATGTCTACAACTGATGGCTGACATGTCCTTGAGAACACAGACGCTTGGGGGTCAGATCCTGTACCCCAACGTGATACGTGCCCCTGTAAACACTCTATTAAAATATTTTAATATTTAAACACGAATTTGACATCGTTAAAAATGATTTTCAAACAATCTTTACATATACCGGTATGAAAAAATACCATATACCACCAAGTCTCAATAAAGTACTTAATGGTTTATCGTTGTAACAGATGTCCAATTAGTATTTAAATAAATATTAAAATAGTTTTGATATAGTGTTTACAGAGGCGTATCACGTTGGGGGCAGGATCTTACCCCCAGCGTCTGTGCTTGAGAATGGTTTGTACGTATTGTGTTGCAGCTATAGATCTGTTTGTGCAGCTTAAGTCAGAGATTGATGGCATAATAAACACTTGATTGGTCATATATAATTGGAAATTATTGGATAAAGATTGAAAATAAAAGAACTTGAAAACAAAACTATTTCTTATTTTATGGCATATAAAATGTCGTTATTCTCAGGAGATTTGTCACGGAGGGCTTCATTTTAGTGGTAGGAACACATAGTATCACGAATGATACACTTGGTGCATGCTAAACACGGGTGTTTGTCTTTGCACTTAAGCAATAGGCTTCGTTTTTAGCTCTGTAAGATTTTGAGATCACTTATGTCTGTGTGTCCATCAACATTTTGCTTTTGTTCAATGTTTTTGAAATTTGGTCACACTTTTCCATTTCTTCATGTTGAACATTTTACATGCTATCAGGTGACCATGACCATGATCATGACCTAGGGTATAATGGAATATTGAATATTGTGTATGCATGCTACCTAATGCTTATGTGAAGTTACAGTTAGATATAAGCAATAGTGGCAGAGATATGACAGAAAAACAAAGGCTTCGTAGTACAATTCATTGGTGACCTTGACATTCAGTATATTACGGGGACAGCTTCTTCATGTATGCATGCTTGTAATTATGCAAAGTTTATGCAAAGTTGCAGTAAGCATAAATCAGCAAAAGTAACAGAGATATGACAGAAAAACAAGTTACCAAGAAAACCAATGCCTTGGTGGGTAGAATAGCATCCCTATTCTCTGAATAGTGGAGCTAAAACTGAAACTCAAGATAATTAAAAAACAACTACTTTTTGAAACTGAATTTATATTTTTCGAAACTGAATAAAAAGTATCCATCTGTCTGTCTACCTATATTCAAGGTAATGATGGATTGATCATAATTTACACAAGTTATAATTAACAAAACTTTATCAACATAATAACATGATATAGGTTCATGACCTTGAAATAAAGTCTACAAAGACTTGTTATGTCATATCAAACAAGAACTTCGCAAGTCGGACGTGTCGCCTGACAATAGCATACAAATTTATGTATATAAGCAAATAAGCAATTGGCAAATAAGCAAATTGGCAAATCAGCAATTAGCAAATAAGCAAATTGGCAAATCAGCAATTAGCAAATAACCAAAATGGCAAATCAGCAATTAGCAAATAAGCAATTCAGTTGTTGGCAAATAAGCAAAGTGGCATGTCCCTACCGGCATTCCATAGATTATGTATGCTTTTGATTTTCACAAAGTTTTCAAAACATTTTGTAAAAAAATAATAAGAATATTTATTTCGTGATAAGTTCAGAAGCAGATTTGATTTTTAATATAAAGACTTCCATTAAAAGTAAGTCAGTTACATGTAATAAGTTATATCATAGTTATAATATAATAATTAACGTAAAATTACAATTCCTTGTAACAAAAAACAGATAGATCTATAGTTAGATGAGTAACATGAAATACATAATTAATTTATAATATTGTCGTAAAATAACATTTCTTTGTAATAAAAACAGATAGATCTTGTTTGTGAATGCATATTTGCACAAAATACGCGACTATTTTATAAGATTTCAATGCAATGAATGTTCTTCCTTTAAAGCTGCACGCCTCCAGATGAGCCAAATTATTTCAAGAAATTCAATCTTTAGACAAAATGTATTAAGATCTTAAGAAAGGTAAAAAGATTCAATATTTAATTAATTTTATTTACATGTTATGTGCGATAAATGACTGATTTTGCAGTATCAATCACTATAATTCTACTGCGTTACTATCGCAGTAAGAGGCATTTATGTATATTTTGACCTATTTTTGGTAATTAATGTAGATTGAAAGTGCCGTTTGCAATGTGTAAATTACTTTCTTTGTTCACTTCACAATATTTTACTTATAAATGCATTTTCAAAATTTTCATGAAAATAAGCATGAAGCTGGAGGCATGCTGCTTTAATTAACACCCATCATCAGTGCATTATAACATTTATCAAGAAACCAGAGTATGCTTCTTTCAATTTTGTCATGGTTAAGTGGTAGAAAAAAAAGCATAGAGTTAAAATAAGTTGTGTATATGTAAATTAAGTTGTGTTTTTTTTTTACAAATGTCGAGAATCAAATTTGTCACCTGTATTTTTTGTAACTGAGCTGATCAATGTTAACGGGCAAACGCGCAAAGCGGCACCGGGTATGTGATAAAGATTTGTGTTTTACAAATAAATGCAATAAAATAACGTTAGTACGCAATAGTCAAACATCGAAAATCGGCATAACACCGCTACCTTTAATTTTGTAGACACGTTCAGCTTTGGTGTAAAATCATATTTCCGACACGTGAATAAGGAATGAGCCCACGGGTTCTTTTAAAACCGTAATATACATGTACTGGTAAATAATCATGTTAAGTTAAATTATGATCCCCGGTTGATTTATTCAATTTGAAAATTACTTGTCTTCAAAACCAGAGTATGCTTCTTTCAATTTTGTCATGGTTAAGTGGTAGAAAAAAAAGCATAGAGTTAAAATAAGTTGTATCATAATTTAACTTAACATGATTATTTACCAGTACATGTATATTACGGTTTTAAAAGAACCCGTGGGCTCATTCCTTATTCACGTGTCGGAAATATGATTTTACACCAAAGCTGAACGTGTCTACAAAATTAAAGGTAGCGGTGTTATGCCGATTTTCGATGTTTGACTATTGCGTACTAACGTTATTTTATTGCATTTATTTGTAAAACACAAATCTTTATCACATACCCGGTGCCGCTTTGCGCGTTTGCCCGTTAACATTGATCAGCTCAGTTACAAAAAATACAGGTGACAAATTTGATTCTCGACATTTGTAAAAAAAAACACAACTTAATTTACATATACACAATCGTGACAGCAAATATGAGACTGTGTGCAGTGTTACATACGTGATCTCACTTGTCACAGTCATGACATATGTGATCCGTGATATACATGTATGTGCTCATACACAGCTAACAATAATCTTATATGGTTTCCCGTCAACGTTTACAGATCATGCGCAAGGTAGTATATAGGTTGCAAGCTGCTCCATGTTCCTCGTGCTTTTGTAAAATTGATTATTTTATTCAGATGTGAATGCAACTAATTCGTTCAAGTCAGCTACAATACTAATCTGTGTATATTTTATCTCAAAATTATTTGTTCAATTCTCGTACGTTATCAATGGCATTGACAACTAAATATTTCTTTTAATCGAAAACAATATTCAATCGAACGTTGATTTCCGCCGTCTATATTCGTGAGTCTTCGTAACGTCGACGTAATGACGTCACAATACGCGCTTAACAACGAACACAGTTTAGCTGCACGAAGTTTTATTAATCGTTTACAGAAGATTATTATGGATAAATCATCTGACGGATTATTAAGAAATAAGGGAACTTCACGTTCAATGTAAGAATAATGTGTATTTTATAAATGATGATAGATCTATATGCTTTTAATTTTCATTCAATTTTGAAAAACATTTTGAAAAACATTTAACAATATTTGTTTCGTGATAAGTATAGAAGCAGATTTGATTTTAAATTGATAAGATTTCTGTCAAAAGTAAGATGAATAACATGGAATACATAATTAATTTATAATATTGACGTAAAATAACATTTCTTTGTAATAAAAACAGAGAGATGTAGTTTGTGACGACACATTTTCTAAATATAAAAAAAAATGCAACTGTTTTTATAAAATTTGAATTGCGCATGAATATTGCAAAGAATGTTATACCTATAATTAACATCCAACATCAGTGCATTTTTACATTTATCTAAATATTACGATCCCCGATTGATTTATTCAATTTTGAAATTACTTGTTATGCTTCTTTCAATTTTGTCATAGCAAAGGCTATTCCATAGAAAGGTAGAAAATAGCATCGTGTTAAAAAAACAATTTTTGTCAGAATTTAACTTCACATATTTGCCAGCATATTACGATTTAAAAGAACCCACGAGCATTCCTCGTTCACGTGTCGGAAAATACGACTTTTACTCCAAAGATGAACGTGTCTATAAAATAGAGAAATACAGGATCCCTAAAGAAAGTCTAACACGACAAAATTTAAAATGTTGCATTGAGCCTGTTCATGGACGGTACTGGAAAGTGCAAGTTACCGTCCACGCCCCTAGCATCGGCTTTAAGCCTAGGTCACAAATAAGAAAATGCCGCCGGGCGGCGTCTGTTTCTCCAAAAAATCGCAATATCGGCCGGCGTCCGTCCGGCGGCAGTGAGTATCGGACGGCAGCAGCTGAAAATTTTGCTCATCGGGCGGGCGCCTTCGAGTTTTAAGTAATACTTAAAAGCTAACGGCGGCCGGACGATAATTTTTGGGGTCATTGAGTATAAATATCATCGAGCGGACATCGTTCGGTCGCCGGGCGGCGACCGGGCGATGATTTTTTTGATCGGGCGATTTTTTGTTCTACTAAAACAGCGTCCAATTTAAAAGGCGTCCGGGCGGACATCGGCCGGGCCCCGCCCGGTGCCAGAATAGAGACAAGTAGTCAAACGATTATCGCCCGGTACCCGGACGATTCATGTACAGGCACCGGGCGGTCATCGTTTTGTCATCCGGCGACCGGGCTGCTTGTGTTTGTTGTAATTTCAGCTTGAAGAAGTTGTAATTGCCTCAAAAATATATTTGTGAATTTCTTTTGAATACTAGTAAACATGAATTTTTTCTTCAATGTCCATGCGAATGTCTGATTGATTTTCGCCTTCTACGGCCTCGATACTGGTCGTTGGTGACTCGTTGTCAACAACACGGACCAACTCCTTGGCCTTTCCCTTAGCTTTGGCAGCTGACTTCTTTGCTGGCATAATTACAACTAGCTGATTTATCTAAGATGTCATTAAATGTAAAGTCATTGTCGCCCGGCGCCCGCGCGGCAACCTTTCGATTCACTTTTAAATCGCACAGGCTCCGTACGGACATCGGGCGGCGACCGCCTGATCCGTTCATTCTTTCTGTAAAATCTACTCGGCAAAAATCGCCCGACGACTGTTTCATTCATGACCACGCAAGGTATCAGATTTAAAATCGCCCGGCGTCCACGACATCAAAAAATCTGCCGATTTTATAAAAATCGTTTAATCGGACGGCGCCCGTTTTATTTGTGACCTAGGCATAAGCATGCAGAATTCAACGTGGTGAAAATTTTGAATTTAGAAATGTTCATACGGCGGTTATCATGGAACCTTCAATGTGACACATTAGTGCCATTCCATGAAAAGCGGCGTATGGTCCCCAAGTAAAAGAATGCATGTGCCCTAAACGAGAAAACAATGGGCGGAACTAAATAAAATGGAATTTTGAAAGGGGATCTGAAGTTATGAAGCCTGCATATCACAGATAAGACGTCAAAAGACAAATTTAAAAAGCAGGCAACATATCCTAAGGGTGATTATACATTTTTTTTTATTTATAAACAAAACTCATGGCCCTTAAGTGCATAAGAGTGAACAATCAACAAAACAAAAAATAATAATACAAACATGGCATGAAGTAAATAAGTAAATAAGGAAGATGACTTATTGAAATTTCAGCATTATAGCTTTGACAAAAATGGCTAGATTAAGTTGTCAGTATTCAAGTAGGAATACTGGAACCACCCAAGTTGAAAAAGGCCAAAAGGAAGGAACTAAAAGTACCACATGACATGTATACACAACAATAATGTCGTGCTGAATGATCTTCAAGGATCGGAAATATAACATCATTGATTAAATGTAAAATTTAAGATAGCATTGTAGGAGCACATTTGTCTCGGTGCACATTTGTCTCACGAAATGTGACCGATGTGCTCGTAAACATTCATATTTGCGACATTTGGAAATGAGACAAATGTGTTCGACACACAATGTTAAGGACACTCGAAGCACATTTGTCTCACATTTTTTCATAAAATTGTAAACAGGTAATAATTATGACCGTCCGTTTACCGGCTTACAGTCATTGTTCTGTGTTTTTTTGTATTTATAATACCGTTTGTATGTCACTTCCGGTCAATCAAACGCGTCCTGAGTCATATTTATTAACTTAAGGAATATCCCTGTTCTGCATGTCACAATGAAAATTTCTACCAGTACAATATCCAGAACCCAAACACATATGCAAAGAGTCCATTCGTTGTGACACGTTTCTTTCCAATGCATAAAGTTTTATAAATGATTTAATATAAGAAATATAAGCAACAACAAGGTATAGTATCTATGGTGGCATAAAGGGGACATAGGATTTTCTTATTTATGCGCACGCGATATATTTCGTTCTAAAGGGGTATTTATTGCGTGCGCACGCGATAACTATTACGTGCGCACGAGGATAGGTATTCCGCATTAGGACCCTGGACGGGCTGGCTCGCATGAATAGTTCGACGCCCGACTGAGTGTCAAACCTACAGCAGTTAAAGCCAAAGGCAAGGAATTTCAATTTTAATATTGGTGGTTCTTAATTCTACCTCATAGCAAAACTTTTGAAGTAACTTTACAGTAACAAGTGTGACGCTAGAAATTCTTCTTAAAAGAAACATGACCCCTACTTTCCTCATCATTTTATATCAGTTTTGTCATATCTCTTCTCTTCAAATGGCATAAGGATTTGTTCTCTAAAATGGATTTAGCTATGTTTTGTAGCTCTTTGAAAAATGTCAGTTGTATATAGAATATAAAGGGAAAACTATTTACGAAGGATTTTCTTGTCTCGCGTCGATTCCGGCGAGACGCGGAAAAAAAGATAAAATAGATATAATAGCAATCCCTAAAGAAAGTGCAAAACAGCAACATTAAAAATTAACAATTGTACCATCGTTGTTTCACCACGTACAATAGTAGTTTCATGTTCATACCATCGTGTTTTCACCATCGTAAAATCGCGTTTTCATCATCGTACCTTCGTGCCATCGCGCTTTCACCATTGTAAATCTTGAACGGGATTCCGTATGTTTCAGTGTTCACCTTAAGGTTCAGCCAATCAAATTTCTTGAATAAGATATCTTAGAATTAATAGGTTTTAAGTTTAAGATTTCATTAAAAACAGTAGCAAACCTATGATGATTACACTTGACATGACAAAAAAGGGCGATCATCGATTCTAAAAAGAAATGTTGCCGTTGGAAAATATGTGACAAATTATTCAGAGAAAATGACACGAGACAAATGTGCTTTCTTGTCCCTTAAACACATGAGACAAATGTGCTTTCTTGTCCCTTATAAAACTTGATCACACAAATTAGTTTTTTTGGGGTAGACATTTGAGATCGCGGGACAAATGCGACCGCATCGGTCTTACGTAAGACAAATGTGCTCCGAGACAAATGTGCTCCTAAATAGCATTGTTATGCTGATTTTCTGTCCATATTTAACTATTGCGTACTTGTTATACATCTTTTTAATTGCGTTTATTTTAAAAGAGATAAAACATTAACATAAGCATTAAGCACATACCCGTACCGTAAAATAGGACCGTGAAAATATTTTAATTTGTCGTCATTTGCGTTATACAAACATAGCGTGAAGATGCGCTAAATATTTGCGTTACGCTATATACGCGTCAATAAATTATTTTTTTTTACTGTAGATCTTCACAGTTCTTATTTTGGATGTGTGATAAATATAATATTTCTAGGTTCATTACTAACTTTATTGACCTCATTGAATATCATAATATTATGCTTGCCAGAGGCTCGCATAATGTAATTTTATTCAGCTCGTTTAATAAAAATTCGTTTTAACGATATTATTTTTTTTATCTATTAAAGAACCGACATTGTAGCTGCCATTACTCATTCTGAGTCCCCATCAACATCAGCTGGACAAAGAAATTATACTAAACATTCAGATTCTGCTCGAGTTATACCAGGTAAGTTTTCTAGACATTGATATATATCTTTGTTTATATCGAACGACAGGAAGTACAATCATGGTAAACTGCGATAAATCTTTAAGAATGGGCGAATAATGCTTCTGAAGATATTGCAAGATAAAGCGATTCTCTTATTTGTTTTTTAACTGATTTAAAAAAGAATAAATAAAATCATCATACAATTTTTTCTAAATGCATCATTTTGGAAAAAAATAGAAGGACTTAGAGTTTCATCACAATATATTCATATTATTTATGTATATTGTATACTTTTTATAACGATATAATATATCGCACTTTAAATCTTTATAGGTCTGGCCAGTCCCTGTCGTTACGGTGAAAATCCCCACAAAAATGCAAAAGGTGTTAAAAGGAAGTTTGAAGAAAACGAAAATGAGACACGAAAGTATAAACGGCAAAAGAAATATCGCTACACGAACACGGTTAATAATCGCGGTGAAAAACGGAAATTTCCCTTTGATTACTCGGAGCAACCACGAAAACGGTTCAAATCATCATCTGTTGAAAATGAACACCAACAACGAGTTACATTAACAAAACCTGCATTACAATACTGTGAATCTTACAATAAGTCTGCTATCAGGAGATCTGGCTTCAAGTCTGATTCAGAAACAGACGACAACATTAATTTAGATATACTTCCGGTTGCAGGCACTTCCGGGAATCGCTGGAATGGTGATATTGAGGAAGCAGACGACAATGTAAGATGTCCTGCGTCATGTGTTTGCAACGCTGGTCACAGTCGAATTCCCACACCGATAAAGCGTTATTTCGAAACGCCAGTTTCCATGCGCAAAAGCGTGTTAATGCGCATGTCATTTTCTCGAGCCAACAAAGATTACCAGTGCTGCCCAGCTAGATGCGTCAGAAAGTTACGCAGATCAACAGTGGTGCGCACTTCACTTCTCAATATTTTGGAGGACTACGACGAATCAGATCTCAGAGTTTACAAGTACTCATGGGGTGAATGGAAGGAGTGAAGATTAAAGTAATGGATGAATTTAAATATAAATATTTGGACTATATCTCAGAAATGCTATTTATTACATTGTCTTTAAAACGTATCTTGCTCAAGGAGGTGAATATCTGATAAAATCATACCGCACAAAACAAACTTTGATAGAATTCAATGCTGATTATTTATTCAGAATTTGATATGAAACGCTAATTTGTGTTAGATTTTAAATCAAACACATAAACAAATGTCTTAAATTATACGACGTACCATATTATAACGCTTAGCTATAATAGAAATTTCCGGAAAACGTTAACTGTGTAAAATATCTAAACACATATTTTCATGAATACAAATGTATATATGTTGTTTATTTATTTTGTTTTATTTATGCCAGTGTATTAAGTTTGAAAAAAAAAAATCACTCGAGAACTTTTGGAGTTATGCTCTGGATCCCCAACCCGAGTAAATCTGATAAAGGGGAATAAATCTAAAAAAAGCAATGTCGAGTTATTGTTCTTGCACACTGTACTGTACTTAAGGAGTGTTGCTTCGCCATTTTTTCTCTTCCAGTTTTGTTTTGTTTGTTTATGTATGAATTTTCTTTAAAAGAAAAAAACCCTAAATTTTTGAGCCAACCGTCAACGCGTCATTTGTATGACTCCGTTCCGGATTAGCCGTTGCATAAGTTGAACGTTTTTCTGCTCAGCAGTAAGCTCTAACGCAAAAAAATGGTCTTGTGAAACACGCGTGGAATGCTCGTTTTTTTTTTCTAATATTCTGATATAAATATCTTTAAAGTACAGACCATTTACATTTATTTTCGTCAACCAAATTCACAAGTTTTTCTTTCAGAAAAGAAGGTGTTGAGAAAAAAAATATTGACGTTTTGGACAGGCAAATGATTATCTTGCACACTCAAATAAGAAATGAATAAAATTTATTAGCATACTTACATAAGCTCATATCCAATTTTAATAAAATATCTTATTCCGTGAAGATTTATTTTTTTTATTGTCCGGTTTTAAAAAAAAATTTTAAAGAAAATCAGTTACGTTTTAAAACCCGATAACCTTGACCGGTTAATACCTCTCCCAGTTACAATACTTGTAATTATGGTTAATTTGGTGTATTCTTTTAATATCTTGAAATTTTACACTAAAATTTCCTTGAACTAGATGACTAGTTGATAAGACGGACCTTACTGGGCTGGGACCTGATACAAACCCAAGCTTTGCTTTTTGTTTACCCCCTTTTCCCAAAGAATTTCTAAGTCTTTAGCATTTAAAAAAAAATTTTCACAAAATATTTAGTGTTTTACTAAAAAGATCTTTCTAACGAAAAAAAAAAATACCACAAAAAATATCATAAGTGAACATGTCCATCTTTTAATATAAACAAAACGACAAAATTCATCAATTTTAGGGAAAATTTCAAAATATGTACTGACAGAACTGCGAACAGAACAGACCATCAGCAGACGGAACGGATGTATTTTATGATCATATATCATAAAAAAGTACCATTTGGCAGTATTATTGCATTGTATTGGCACATTCTATAAACCACCTTAATAATGCAGGACCCCATGCATTATCTAACAGTTGGTGGTTTCCCAGAGCATGGGTTTTGCGGCTTATATTATAGCCATATTTGTAATACATACATGTACCGGTGCTGTCCATATGCATGGTCCAATCTTTAATATAATGCATTAATCTTGAAGTGTAAAACCTGAAAACAAGCAATAAATTATTTATCCAAATAATGATTCTCGTATATTCAATATCGTAAATCTATTTGATATAAGAACAGAATATTTTCCTCACATACAAATTCCAAAAAGTACATTATTTAGAAACACGCTGATTTTGAGAGATCAAACCCGGAATTTCATCTGGTGTACTTTAGTTAATAGACAAAATATAATTTTAAACTTCTCAAGTTCAATTACACAACGTGAAAGAGAGAAATAATTTATTGCCACGAGATTTTATAAAATGATATATCTGTTACCTATAGTTAACCAATTAATTTATTCATTTTTGAAAAATAATACTTTCTTTGTATTATTTCCTTCAGAGTGGATGGCACATGCACGAAATCACTGCTAAATGGTCAATAATAACATGATATTTTGTTCCCGAACATTTATGTATATTATGTACTTAGTAAATTATGTTTTAATAAAATAACAAAAAAATTATAACAGAACAGATCACAACAGCATGGAAAATTTAACGTAGCGTTACGGAAAAAACGTTTTTCATACACTGTGGATTTTCTATTCTATCAATCCACGTGTTTTTACCGTTTATGAATTCTATGAAAATATTTCATAAGATATTGCGTTTTATTACATGTTTTGCAGTAGATTACTGAATTATAACGGTTAATTATATTCTGATAATTTCACAGTAATGATTACCAAATATAATTTCACAGTAGCCGAACTATATTTGGCGTAAAAATAAAATATTTATCATTAATGAATGTTTTTTTCAGCGGAAATGTAGTCAATCATAATAACAAATGTACGTGATAACTGTAGTTCATAAATATTTCACTCGTGAACCCCAGCTATTATATTTTCACTCGTGGCTACGCCACTCGTGGAAAATATTGCATCTGGTGTTCACTCGGTGAAATATTTTTCGATCTTACACTGAAACAAACAAATATCCTCTATATGTCCTTTAATATTTGATAATCATTTAAAGTTATATTATCATTTTATTATAAAATTAAAAAGCGTATATCTATTTGTTTCACTTAATATTCTTATCATGTAAAAGATCAAATGTAAACAGTTATATTAGTGTCACTATGTTAGATAAGCGTCAATTAACACCATATTGTAATTGTTAACACGTGTATTATCTCGTGTCAACGTGTTATCGTGCAATCGTTCCTGATCTGATACTGATAGTTAACGAAACGTTTACAACTTTCATTTTAATCAGAAAGATATCAGAAAATCATAACTTTCACACAAATAATGATGTAATTATAAACGGATATGGACGCTAGTTTGGTATATAAGATTTATCGGAGGCATAAGTTACAACAGAACTTGTTCAGTTCCTCGAAATATATCTTATTGTGAAAAAGGGAATATCTTTTTTAGTTTCAACGCTCTTATTATCATAAATATACAAATATGGAACTTGCAAACATAGCATTTCATATGGATACGCCTGGACGATATAGTGTCCTAGGGAAACATATGCGTAAAACTAATCTAAAAGAAAAGGTGGAGAATTTGTTTGACGAAAATAAAGGAAAGCGATCTATTCTTAAAAGATATTTAAGTGATGCTGTCAGGCAGTTGAACTATGTAGAAATCGACGAGGTTTCGAACACAAGTGATGTTGATGATTATGTAGATACAATGGATTGTGCCTTCCATGAATCTGGAACAATTTCTGTACCGGAAAATGTTGCGGGGAAACATTTTGATTCTCGCAAGTGTTTAGATATGGGATATATTCAAGGCAAAGACGAATTTGCGAACACAAGTTATTCTTCATCAAGTACTCTAGTTTACGATGACATGGATATAGATTTAGTCCGCGTGCCGGGTGATGGAACGGAAGTACCTGATCCAGCAGACGACAAATTTACTGATGTTGAAAGTGAACGATTTAAAAGGGGACTTACCGGAGCCGACCGACACAATTTAATTAATTGCCTGTCTCTCGATAAACAGACACCATTAACGGGAGCAGCGGGTAATGGTTATGTAATCCTTAAGGAAGAACAACGAGAGATTTCAAGTGAAAAATGTATCAATAAAGAACTTGATCAATTTTCGAAACGTGAAAAAGTCCTGTATTCTAAGCCTATGTATTGTGAATGCAATGCACTTTCCGAGACAAGAAAACGACTTACACATAAACCAATGGGTAAACTTAAAGGATTACTGAAACTTTACAAAACCATGAAATTGAGAAAGAAGTTCGTAAAGAAATGTATAGCTGATAACATAACATGTTTTACTCCCGTCAAGTCAAGAACGTGTTTGAATTCTGCATTTATCAATGATCAAACAAGAATTGATGGGTCGCTATCATTTTCCGGAAATACACGATTGAATATAAAATCTGTCGACAGTGCTCGCCTTAACTCGGGTATCTCCGACGAGGCTACGGATCGTAATCGAATCGACTCGGCTTTCTTCAATGCAGCAGACAACACTAGTAATGTCCTGAACGCGGCCTTCATTTCAGGTGATCTAACGGATTCAAAGAATACATGTGCAGTAACTGAAGAAGAAACCTTTATGCAGAAAGAAAATACCGTCATGGACATTTCCGATCAGACCGAAGATGAACTAAACTTTGCAAAGCTTCACTCACAATTTCTACCCTTATATGAAGACATGACCAGCTGCAGTTCAACATTTGAAGAATTTGCCTTCTTTAACAATGGTTTTGTAATGGACTAAATAATTCTAAGTTGTAATATCATTAAATGTACGATATGCTGTATTTTACATATTAAAATTACGATAACTAAAATGTACAACATTCTTTTTATATTTCTTATAATAAAATCGGGTTATTGTAATCTGAAATTTGTATTTAACTCCAGTGGATTTATGGACCGGGTCTTATCCAACAAACAGATCCATCCTGAAAGCCCATACGTCTTGGGTTAAAAGGAGGATGAATATCAAGGAGCATATAAATACTGTTAGAAATTACAAGCCCGATCAAACACATCTTTATTCTTTATTCACTGTAAAACATGAAAGATGATTTAGATATTATATAGATATATTTTAGTATAAGAAGTATACATTCGTATATGTATATCTAACCTGGAAGAGGAAGCTTGTATTGTTTTACAATACGATATTTCCATAGAAACGGATGCAGAATTTCGGGCGTGTGCAATCTGCGTAGGGCAAAAAAGCAATAACGAAATAATACATTTTACAATTTAATGATTAACCATTATTTTAGAATAGAATAATAACCGGTAAAGGTGTACAAAGGTCCGCTATATATAGCTATTTTTGAAGCACTTAACTCCTAAATTAGAGGTCGTGAATGCGAAATTTATTGGCAATATTCTCTTTCTATTCTCACACTTAAAGACTTAAATGAATTTTAGTCTCATACATGCATATATATACGCTGTCTGGGACTAACAAGTACTAACAAGTATTTTCTGAGGAAACAGGGTATTGGTCCCAGTAAGGCTCGAACTAACAATCACTGGGTTGAGAGGCAGACTCCTTAGCCACAAGCCCATTACTGCCCTTAGGTGCATTTTAGTAAAAAAATCAAGTCTCAAAATTAAGATCCGAACTGCTTACACGCTCAAAAAAGTAATTTTGAGCTGTAATTGCTAATACGAATAAGAAGAAAACGGTGAAGTTAATTTATTTTAATACCATTTATAACAGAATGGTACAAATATATACAGGATATATGATATATGCCCCCACCCTGATGATAGTTATCTATACTGTACATTCATTTTATTTATATTGTTGTATTAGTTCCGTCCATCTTGAATATAGTTCGTTTGTAGGTATTTTCCACAGTTTGTGAAGCAATGGCCATCCACCTTTAGCCGTAGTTAACAAATAAGTGTTCCACGGTTGTTGGGCGTATGAATGCGCTCCAAAAACAAGAGACTGACACAGACGCGCACAAATAATTGTTTTTAAGGCTTCAAATTCATGCGCGTTGAGTGAACATGTCTTATAGTAACCGGCAAGAAAATGGCCACCCACATCGGCCTGTCTTTCCACGGGACAGTCAATACTAATATAAGCAATGCAGATAGCGACGTCAAACACGGTGTATGAATCAGTGACGTCATTAAAATCAAGCATGGCACTGACGTCATGAACACGTTCATTAAGTGGTACATTTTCTTGTCCTGGTACCTCGACCATTATTGCATTCTGTTCGTTCAGATCCCCATGAATTACTCCTGAAATTAACATAGCACTTTCCAGTCTGTAAATTCTGATTTTTGAATTATTTTAGTCAACACATTACATAATAATTGATCCATATCGCATATAAAAATATAGTTAAAATCTGTAATAGAAAACTTGACGAAATTTCATCAACACGAGTTGGAGTTGTGTAAGTTTATAATAAAAACAAATGTAATTGTATATCAACAGACAATTGCATAAAAGTTGACCTCTTATTCTTTAAAAAAAAAAAAATTAATAAAAAAAAACAATACCTTTCGTAAACTTGTCATAATTTGGCACAACATTTTCTTCAAAGTCTTTAAGAACTTCTTGAACAATGACGACGTCTTCTTCGCTTGTGACCGCTTTAAGAAAGTCTTTGAGAACAGGTATTTGTTCTAAGCTCCAAATCATTGTATAATTGTCATAGAAACTGTGATGAAATCCCTACAACACATGTATATAAGAATAGTTAGCAATCGTGTCTTCTCGGCCCTTTCCGTCAAACTTCGGAAAAGTATTATTATGAATAATTGTCGAGGTATATTACGGTTAGTGTATTATAATAAGTACAGCACGTTTGTTACGGCAATTTTCATTGGACAATTGGGACGTATATATTTTTATACACATGTACATATAACTGATGCAAACTCATTTTCTATTTTTCCTCAAAGAAAAAAAATGCAATATAGTAAAATCCGACAGGTTATATGACCGATTATAAAAACGGCTGTTAGCTATATAACCCTCGTCTAGCGGATTGAGTGATATGAAACTGCAACCGTTTAAAATAGGCCATATAATCTGTCAAAATAAAAAAAATCTGTCTTGCATATGTATATAATGCACATGTAAATAAACTTAGGTTATATAACATGCACCATTTGAATGAATATGTATTGCAACTTATTATGGAGATATTGATTTAGATATTAATTTAAGTTTTATGTCTTCACCTACGATTTGTACCACTGGTTTTGGCATCGCTATGCAACCGCAAAAATGGAGTATTTTTTCAACCAATATCGTTCAAATAATGGCTAATATTTGCTTAAAGCAGCATGCCTCCAGATTCATGCTAATTTTCATGAAAATTTTGAAAATGTATTTAAAAGTAAAATACTGTGAAGTGAACAAAGAAAGTAATTTACACATTGCAAACGGCACTTACAATCCACGTAAATTACCAAAAAGAGGTCAAAATATACATAAATACCTCTTACTGCGTTAGTAACGCAGTAGAATTATAGTGATTGATACTGCAAAATCAGTCATTAATCGCACATAACATGTAAATAATTAATTAAATATTGAATCTTTTTACTTTTCTTAAGATCTTAATACATTTTTCTAAATATTGAATTTCTTGAAATATTTTGGCTCATCTGGAGGCGTGCAGCTTTAATGCAATATCTACAAAAGTTACTTACTGTCATGGCTTTATGGAGTCTTCCCACAAACAAGCCAATATTGTAGAATGATCCAGGTACATATGGAGTTTGATGGAATATTTTACCCGGAACGAATGTCACCAGTCTAACTAAATAAGGTCCATGCTTTGTAGATGGCGCTGCAAATTATAAATGATTAAAATCATCTTTTTACAAGATTATTTTTTTATTCATCTTTTATTTAAAAAAATTAAGAACTTTGTTGAGAGGAAGAAACGAACTAAAGAAATCTTTCGTCGACATTGATTGAAAATCGGACATTATACGCCATGATACCGCCAGGATACCGTGGCATCCTTATACATATGCATACATGTAGTTCTTTATTAACAGCCAATATTAATATGAAAAAAGTGCTTTAAATATGTATTTCGTTAGGTTAAACCGACACTGTAAAGAATATGTGGCAACTTTCCGGTTTTGCCTGTGAAGAAAGACTTCGTGTGCGCCACCACGTAACATGAGTAGACCACTCCCTTTTCGTGATATAATAATAATTATAATCATCATCATCGCCATCATCATCATCATAACGACGACGACGATGATAACGACAACGACGACGATGATGGTGGTGATGGTGATGATGATGATGATGGAAATATATTATTTCACCCACTATTTTCACTATCTTGAAACGTCTCCAAACTCCAATCTTTTCCATCATTATTTGGTATCTGTACTTGAGTGGCCACCCCTCGTTCTCGAACATATTGACACAATGCATGCTGGGCATCTGTTGAGATATCATTAGATAAATTTCAATACATAAAAAATAGCTATACAAAATAATCAAAATCGCTTGAATCTAACCTAATCTAATCAAGTTGTGTCATATGAATATACTACCTCAGTATAGTAGATGAAATGTATAAGTAATTATGGATCACAACTTTATTATGAAAATTAATGCATCAAATGCCGTACAAAATGTACACGGACGACATTCTATATGTTAAATATATAAAGTAATCATCTAGAGGTTAAGGTGTCTGTCTAAGAACATTTGGATCCTCGGTTTAAGCGATTCTGAGATTATTTCCACATATGCAAACAACTGTGTTGGAAACCTCTAGGAAGAGAACTCGAGGGTGTCTCATATTATGTTCAAGTTTTCTTTATAATCCAATTTTTATACAAAATTTTTAACTGAATGAAACAATGAGTTATGTCCCCTATCCGAAAGGAAAAACGTCTGCAGCAAGACATAGAAACAATATCAATATGAAAACTCGTATTTGCTTCATTTTACTTCTAATAAGATATTGTTATTGCTTGAAAGGTTATGTGAGCCGCGTCACGACAAAACCAACGTAATGCGTTTGCGACCAGCATGGATCCAGACAAGCCTGCGCATCCGCGCAGTCTGATCAGGATCCATGCTGTTCGCCATCAGTTTCTCTACTTGTTATAGGGTTTGTAAGCGAACAGCATGGATCCTGATCAGACTGCGCGGATGCGCAGGCTTGTCTGGATCCATGCTGGTCGCAAACGCGTTATGTTGGTTTAATGGTGACGCGGCTCATGTATTGATACAAATACCAGCATTAAAATTTTTGCTGTATTAACAATATCCAGTCTGTACTAACCTATGATGCCGGGACTTGATGACTGCAGTGAGTTTAGAACTTTTAGGACATATCCATCCTTGTTCACCGATTGAATGTTCTTGTTTTCAAATTTGTCGTCTGCTAACACGAAAAAGTTCAGGTCGTCATAGCTTGGTAACTCTTTTATATCCTTTACCTATGATATGTATTTAAAATATATTGAATGAGTGTAGATGTAATACTAAATTTATTAAACGGGATGAATAAAATCATACCGTATAAATGCCCGAATCATAAAATCCAAATCAAATCATTAATGCACTCCGTCTAGTCTCGTTTTCATTTTCAAAGTCCAAAAAAGTCATATCAAATCCTTATTGTACTAAAAGTAACAAACCTTTTTCAAAATGTAAAAATATGTGGTGCGAAATAAGGATATTAGCATACATTGTTGAGAACAATACTGATTCTATTGGACTCGTTCACAGTTGTCAAACCTTTATTGGACGAGGCGCCAGCCGGGTCTAATAAAACTTTTGAAGCTAGCTGTGTACGAGTATTGAATTTATTATATACTTATAAATGAAATATTGAGAAATATTGATGAAATAAAATGCGTATTTTCATTTTCCGTATTTTCACTGTAAAAATTTATTTTTCACTGCAGTGAAACATATTTTCCGTATTTTCACTGGTGTCTTGCCGGACTACTTTCTTTTAAATTCTACCAGTACACAAAATTTAAGGGAAAGTTTTTCAAATTTTATCGCAAAAAAGAGAAAAATGTACATAATAAACAGAAAATTCAAGTTTTTTCTATTAATACATGATTTATTTTCATCTTGTGGCATGAAAATTACCATATTTCACTCGTGGCTACCGCCACTCATGAAATATTTATTTTCATACCACTCGATGAAAATAAATCATGTATTTATAGAAAAAACTTGAATATCCTCTATTTATTATTGTTCTTATGAATGTATTACCTCATAATATTACGTAGAAAACAAGCGACGTCATGAGAGTATACTTTTACTGCAGCAGCTATTTCTATAATTTACATTTTTTCGTTTAACTCACCTTCAATCCATACAGTCTGTGTACAAGTTCGGGGATTGCATTTTTAGACACACGTGGTTTCAGTTCCTCGTCTGGATCCTGTAGCTTTATATTGGATGATTCGTTGTTGTTTGATTCAGTCATTATTTCAACACGAATCTAAAACAAAAATGACGTTTTTATTATAAATGTTTAAGAGAAAAATATGCAGAATACCTACAAATGCAGCAAATCACGAATGAAGGTGATTCCAAGGCAACAATACAGGGGCATTGTCTCTTTTCTATAGTACTCCGGGACGTTTTATGAGTTTTCGCTCAGCAGCTTGTATATTAATAAGACATGATCAGATTTCATTAAAACATGTGCTATGAAACCTGTAAAATGATATAATGTTATAGAGTTAATGATATACATGTATAGTAATACAATTTTAATTTACCTTTCAAGGCGCAACGTACAGTACATAAATATCACACAGATTCATCATAAAAGTACATGTATGAGATAGTCGCTTAAAGTGACATGCCCAGGAGGGTTATACATGTACTTGAATAATCAAACTAACTTTCAATTTTGTCATATTTGTTTTTGCTTTGCATGAATATTCAATACTGAATACCCAAGGAAATATCGTAGAGTGAACATTCTGCATTTAAAGTTTTTTTTTAAATCTAATCGTTTGCGAAATATAGCCGACAGTTCGATTCGGCCGCAAAATAAATTAGTATGTCACTTTATAATCAAGGCCAATGATAAGTGATGCATTAATTTTTATCCACGCTCGATGTATCACAAACATTTTCAATTTTTTACTTTACGTATAGAAGAAGAAGAAGAAGAAGAAGAAGAAGAAGAAGAAGAAGAAATTTAGAAGAAAATAAATCAGTAACACGTAAAAGCTCTCATGACTGAAATGTCTCAAATTTAACTGTGACTGTTTAATTATTAGAAAAGTAAAAACATGAGTAACACAAAATAAAAACGTAATAATGATGATAATTATGATGGCGACGATAACTATGTTGTTGATGATGATGATGATTTTGACGATGACGGCGACGATGATAATGAGTATGACGAGGATAACAACGGCATCGGCGACCATCTAACACTTTTTAGGTTTAATATACATGTATATATAATGCATCTAGTTTTATGATACTGCACATTTGTAACGTCGCTTTTCATTGGATAATAGTGGCGATTTTATACAACGTGGTTTTATATACTAGCGGTTCGGGTTTTATATACAAACAACCGTTTATATAGGGCCATATAACCCGTCAAAATTCTTAATAACTAATAACCTTAACGTATATTATGTATATGAAAACGTCGATAATATAATAAAATATAAGTACATATATATACCGTGAGTTAATGCTTCAATAATCCACAGTGGTTTAAAAAAAATAGAGCAAATTAATTAAGAAAGTTAAAAGTTCTTTTAAAGCATGCACACATGTACCATCTCCTCTTTTAACATTTGATTCTTGTATACATGCATATACCCGTTTCAGTGTAACGCATTTTAGTCTGAAGTTTCACTATGACCTATCGAATATGAAGTTTATCTCTGTGTGTACCCGAACTGATATAAAATCAAGTACATGTACACTGTATTAAACGTCGGCTTAAATGATAGCACATATACATGTATTATAATATGCTATTTTATTCACGATTGCTTTCTATAGCGTTAAAAGTATTTCATGCTTTACCCGTCCTGTGATGCAAGAAAGCGTGATTCCTGTGAAGCAAGCAAACGTGTTTCACATGCTCCAAGAAAACGTGTTACTCTCGTGCTGCAACAGAACGTGCTCTCTGTGCTGTAAGAAAACATTTTTCCTGTTGCCTTTGCTGTAAGTAATGTACTTCCATGAAAACTGGTTTCCTATGCCGTAAGAAAACGTGTTTCACACGTGCTGTAATTCCTTACGTATTGTTTGAAAACATTTTTCTGTACTTTTAGAAAACGTGGTGTCTGTGTTGTACGTTTTTCCTGCGCACCAAAAACGTATTTTTCTCGTGCCGTAATAAAAACGTATTGCATATGTGCGAGAGAATAAGTTGCTCGTGCTGTAAAACATGTTTCTTCTGCGTTAGAAAACATGTTTGTCATGTCGTAGGAAATTCATAATGCCCATGCAGTAATTAAATAAACTTCCTATTCACTAGGAAAACGTGTATTTATTTGACATCAAAAAGAATATAGTCTATTTGAGTAAAATTTTGTTAGCAGATATCCCTAAAAATCATAGTCAGATTTAAAAATGCCCACTTCTACCGAAATAGCTGTCGAAATGTATACATGAGATTATTTAAGTATCCGAAGGTTGACGGAAAGTGTCGAGAAGATGCGATTGCTGTAGCCACATGCTAGTTAGGATGCATGTATTTGAATCTATCACTATTGCTAGTGACTATCTTATGAGTAAATTTAGATTTAATAGAAGAGGAAAGAAATCAACATACCCTGTTAATCGCCAGATCTAAACTTTTTATCTGATGTATTTTCTGTTTACTTGAGCGAGTGACCTGTTTAAATCTTCCGCGTGTATTAAGTATTAGTTATCCGTGTTTTTAGTATATGCCCTACTTTTTCTCCTGCATTTGGAATGTTTTACATGTAATGTGTATAACATATAAATAAAACGGTCATTTCATACGCTGATAAAAAAAAGGAAATTAACAGTTACAGTACAGTCGCTCCTTTTGATTTGTTTAAATCATTTATTTTTATCAGCGTCTTTACATTAAATTTTCCATTTATGTCGTGATACTGTATATGTGAATATATATATAGATCAACGACTATTTCTTATATGGATATATATGGTTATATATGCTATATAATATATAATTTTTTCTCTTGCTTTATTTAATATATCAACTGGAAACTTAATATGTAAAGTTCCATCGCGATTTCACCATCGTACCATTGCATTTTTATCATCGTACCATCGTGTTTTCACCATCGTACCATCGTGTCATCGCGTTTTCACCATCGTACCATCGTGCATCGCGGGTACAGGCTAAATAAAAAAGTCACGATTGTCTACACGGAACACTGTACTACGTACGTTGGTGAACCGATAGGGGAAGGAATATGGACAAACGCTCAATAAGTGTTACTAAACCATCCATGAAACTTAAAATATAAGAAAAATGTCAAAGTGATGCCAACAAATCAGAACATATCCGCTAGAAGTCAATATATATTAATGAGGATCTCACGTAACTTAATTTTGTAAGATTATGTTAAGAATCGGGAAGGTTTATCATGGTTGGTAATAGCGAGCTCGACGAGCTGGCCCGAAGGGCCTGCTCGCAAAGCGAGCTTTACGGTAACGCGAGTACCTGCTAAGTGATGGTTTTGAAAACTTTCGTCCGAAGTACCGAATTGGACACATCGCAACCTTTCGAATTTAAAGATAAGGATAAAAACTGAGGAATTCTGACTGAAAACGGATGTGTAGACTGGTCACCCGCGCACGTCTATGGGAACCATAATTGGACAGGGAACCAGAATAACGGAAGCTATCGATAAAATATCGAACGGAAATGTAAAATGAAAATTGAAGGCGCAATTTTGTTTGAAAAATCTGATAAATAAAAACAATTTTTTGTCGAATTTTGTTGTGAAAACTATCTAGAATGAAAGAAAATGGTCTAACTAAGAAAATGAATCCGAACACCAATATCTTTTATTCAGTCGTTAACGCTGTACAGACGTTTAAAGTATTGTTTATGTGACGTCACAATGTAGCGCCAAACAGCACGTGCAAAACAAACAAATTAAGTACGCTATTTTAATGTCGCAAACGTTTTAAGTTTTACATTTATTTCACTTTTAATAATCTTCATTTCGCTTGAAAAATTATAGAGTTAAACAAAATAAACGAAGTGTTATTAACGTTGGCATTATTCATTTAACGACAGGGGCGGAGCCATATTTAACACAGTACGTGTAACGTCAAACGCACTCGTCACTGCATTTGAAATAAAAATGAGCGACTATTTCATACTATTTCACGTTAAAAGTACATCGAGCTCGCTTTGAGGCTTTGCCTTTTTCATATTATTTACTGCATGCCAAGAGTAAGAAGAGATTTGTTCCATCCACCCCGGTGACTTGTTCGATAAATATGTATATCAAGCCAAATTACGAGGAGCAAGGAATGGGTTCTCATATCTTGGAGCTATTTGAAGGTGAAAACACATACTCTGACTGAAACCAAAACTTACACAATCATATGTATTTCATGACTGTTCCGATAAACATGATCACATTTATTCTTTTAATTGTGTGCTACATTTCGGTTTAAATCTTGTTTTATTAGATGTTTGTGATATAAATAGTAAACTAAAGTTTAAAAAGTTTCAGGACTTCTGTATAGTTACACATGTTGAAACAAAACTTGATGACTTTGAAACAATTAAATCATTAAACAAATCTATCGGTATTAACAGTAATATTTTTCACGCTATGTGTTAATTTAAAACTTTTATTATATAATAAAATACTAGTAATTATAATGTGTGTAGTTTTAAATTAAAAATATCCACGACAAGAATAATTCTTGAAGAATGTTAAATTTGCTAGGGGTCACTTCTGCATCCGTCTTTCCATCCGCCCATATTACTGATACAATTTCTTCCAAAATTTAATTGCAGCATGTCTAGTTGTGCATATCGTCGGCATTTTGCAGTTCAGTGATTATTGTCAGAGCAAGAGGCGTGGGAGGTAGCTTGCACTTAGGTCACTCCCGTCATAAACAGGTTACAGTTTCTATTTTACAGTTTTTGGCAACACAGTTACGTTTTTTTTCTGTTTTGAACGTGAGTGATGATTACATCGTGACACGGATTTATATTATAAATCCGTGATCGTGATTACATCTGCGAATGTTTCTAAATTCAAATTTTCCCCATTTTCGTGTTTAAATGTTGAATTCTGCTTAAGTCGGTGCTAGGGGGCGTGGACGGTAACTTGTACTTTCCAGTACCGTCCATGAACAGGAGCCTGCACATTGCCGTGTTGGGCTTTCTTTAGGGATTCTGCTTATCTCTTTTTGAAAGAATAGTAAAATAATTGAATAATTATGTACTAATCAGTCAGTACAAAACTGTAAGAAGCAGTTAATCGGTATAAAACTGAAAAAGAAAGGGGAAAAAAGAAAGAAACAGTAAGTAGAGGAGGTGAAACTATTTGCAATACATGTTCTTTCCGCTAATTAAATTGTCCATTTCGAGTTTTGTTTAACAGCCGTGATCTCGTTTCACGCGAGAGTATTGTAACGTTATTTTAACGTCCATTGTTGTTTACAAATTTGCCGGGTAGGCCCAATCTGAGAAAATCCACATAAATCAAAGATGAGTAAAGCGCATCCACCAGAGCTGAAGAAGTAAATTATTGTGTTATAGTTTATTTATAATTAGCTATATTCGAAAGATACGTTTTAAATCTAAATGCAATAATTTGGGTGTGTAAAGAGGGAAGAATCATGTTTTCATTGAATTCTTTCTTATTTATTTAATTCATTTTCATGATTTTGAATTCGTTTTAGACTGTCCGTCGGTTTTAAATTTCAATCCGTGTTTTAAGTAAAATGGAGCAATGATGTTTATTTTCTGAGAAATTCTCCACTTATAAACATCAACCATCTGCTTAAACTTGCCTATAATCTATTTCTACAATGATAAAATAATTCCATCTACTGTCAAGTCTCAATTGTTAAATACATGCATATTATAAATTGATCATTTATCCAGTTTCGACCCAGTGTTTTTTTTCTCACTCTATTGGGAAGGGGGTCGGTGGGGGGAAAAGAGTCAACTCGGCCCTATACCAAGGATTTATATTACAGGGATCGGACACTCCCAGTTAACCCTATATAAATGCTTTAATATCTTGTCGTGCGCACGATAAAGGTACATCGATCGATAATTTACCGGCGCTAAGCGTAAATGTCCGTTCGCAACAGATACCTACTTTACAAAATACCATATAACTTTTCCATTTATTATGCGATTTTGGAAATTTAAAGTTTATTTTGAAGAAAAGTACTTGTTTCATTCAAGTATCTAATTTATTTTTTAAAGGTACAGTTTATCTGTCCGCAACGCAGTGAAGTAGACAATCATCGTAACAGTAAAGTTCTCTCGTGTGGCTGTCTCGATTCCGACCTTTTTAATGTCACTCGTATATTTTAATCCGTATATTTTAATTATTCTTTTTATTTGAATGCCTGTAGAAAGATATTTATGATACTTTTTAATGTAACACTAGAAAAACAATAAAAATCTTTACAGTTTGAGTCAGTATTTTGCGAAATAAAAGTAACTGTTGATTATTTTTTACACATCGCTTAAATTTCTTTCAAGTGTAATTACTTTTGAAGGGGTGTGATAATTAAAAAACTTTATTTCCAAACTTTCATTACCAGGTTACAAGTGATAATTGCAACACTCAATCTTCAAAAACAATAAGAATTTGAATGTATATTTTGTATATGCGCGGTCTTTAACAACAGTCCATGGCATATATGCGTTAAGAAAATGATTCTGAAGAGGATATATATAAATACAATGTAAATCTATTTTCTTTATTAACATTTATAAATGAAATTGAAAATATACAACTAAATTTGTATAGTCCTTTCTCTGAAAAATAATGAAAATAAACATGTGATAAATAAAACATTTGACGTGAATTGTTAAGGATAACCATGAAAAAATTATGTTTCAAAATAAAAAATAATATTATAAAACAGCTGTTCTCTATGCCAATAAAAGTTTCTTCCTTGCCAATCTAATGAATTCATCTATAGGAATGCTTGTCTAGAATGGTCTGAAAATATATTTGATACACTTATTAGTAGAATATTTACTATATTTATACTAATATACAGGTAATCAAATAAAAAATGTACAAATCATTTGGAAATAATTCACAGAAATAAAGACACATTTAAAACATGAATTTCTTTAAAAGTTTTTTTAGCAATCAAGAAACATTTTTTTGCAATGCCATCATTAAACCATGTAGAAAATAATTATCTTTATTCTGAATCGCGGTAATAATTCGTGCTTGAAGTAAAAGGGCGACGAAGTGTAGAGAGTATGCCTAAACAATAGGCGAATATTTTTTAAATTAGGTACTTTTTAACTAAGCGTTGCAGCGTTCTATCAGCATATTTTCATATATTAATACTTTAGCGACACAAAATAATACTGCATCAATACATTCATATGTGTATAATTTTTCACAAAGCTGCAATAACACCACATACTCCTGTGAAAATCTGTCATATTTCGTACTCCGCGCGTTCCGCCATCTCATTCTGTCCACCTTTATCCGATTCCGCGCATGCGCGTGACGGGACTTTAAGCTAAACGAAAGTGTCCGATCCTTGTAATATAAATCCGTGCCTATACCAACTCGGCACGGGTCAATTCGGCCCACTTTACAAAAATATATAGGCCTATAACGTATTTACTTTGCTTTGCATGTTGTTAAGGTAAATGAATAATGAGAAATATCTTATTATTAATATGAAATTAGGCAAAGCCTATGAACGGGGAAGTCGGTAAAAAATCCTTTCATTTTTCCGTTTTAAAGGTGTCATTCGGTATTATATGTACCCACTTCCGTTTTCACTCGGAACACTCGACGATTATTATTAATCCGAAAAGTTGAGATTTGTTCCGTTATCGGAGTACATCGCCTTTTATCATTGACTTACATTGTAAATGGCGGCGCCTAACTAGAACTGACACTGAAAATTTCATTGATATGTAAAGAATTCTATATATTTTTTAATTGTTTTTTTTTATTTGATTTTCTTTTAAATATACACATGTAGTCTATAGCCGGGCAAGCCATGCGGGCCCGGACTTTGACTTCCCCGTATTATATAATTATATATTGTACCTCTGCTGAAATAAAGTATATTTAGAAAAAAAAGATGTCTTGCAGATTTGATAAAATTAATATGGCCACAGGCACAATTATCGGACCTGGGAAGAAAAAATATGAACAGATTGATAAAGTAACTTCATATTTTTTCTTCCCAGGTCCGATACTTGTGCCTGTGAATATAGATATAATGAAAATGTGTTTCCTTAGATGCATTTTGTTTGTAAAGTAATTTTCAAAAAAAATATGAAACAAAAACGTGTTTACTTAATAGCATAAGCTTCTAATTAATTGCAGGTGGTCACTAATCAAATTCGAATGAATGAGTCAATCATAATTATCACCTAATTAATCGGTATCCTTAACATACACATTGATTGATAAAAATAGCCCGTGAGTCCTTTGATGTTTAAAAGTGGGCCGAGTTGACCCGTGCTGAGTTGGAATAGGGCCGAGTATGTTTTAGGGCTGAGCTGACCCGGATTCTCGGTGGGGCAGCACAAAATATCCAAATATTGCCTAAATATACCAAAATATTGTCCAGTTATACTAAAAATAAATGTTTCATACTAAAAAAGTGCTGTTTTAATCATGTATACAATATACACTTTCACTATTCTAAGATATAATTAAAAATACCCAAATATACATCTTCCTATCATAATTAAAAATACCCAAATATACATTTTCCTATCATTGTGTTTTGAACCAAAATACGTACAGTACAGTACATATGTACCCCATTAAAGCTATTTTTTAAACGCATTTATCAAAATTTTTATTCACCAATCGGTGTATGATTAAATACTCCAATTTGTGTATTATACACCAATTTGCGATATACTAGACCTGTTTACAGTAACTCTTACAGCCATAAAATAAAACATTCTTCGGCAGTTAGTTGCAAAAAACGATATTCATTGCAGGCTAATTCGGGCTGCTGTATGAGGGGAAAATTTTGGCTTTGAGGATGGAAAAAACATACTATTTTGAGGGGGAATGGCGCCAAATTTGATAAATATTTTGGTAAAGAAAATACTGGGACTTGTTCTGAATCATTTAACACTGTTCAATGTTGTTTTTCTAGAAAACAAATCATAAGACGATCCGCGCTACCAATTTAAATTAATATGGAATATGTACTTATAAATTTTAACCAGCTTAGTTTTTAGCTCACCTGAGCTTGCTCAGGGTGAGCTTTTAGGATCGGTGAATGTCCGTCGTCCGTCCGTCGTACGTCCACAACTGCTTGTGAACACTCTAGCGGTCGCATTTTTGCCTCAATCATCATCAAACTTGGTCAGGATGCTTATCTAGTTGAAAGCTCGGATGAGTTCGAACATGGCTCATCTCGGATGAAAAACTAGGTCACAAGAGCTAAAAATAGAAAAACCTTGTGAACACTCTAGAGGTCACATTTTTGACCCAATCATCATCAAACTTGGTCAGGATGTTTGTCTAGGTGATAACTCGGATGAGTTCGAACATGGGTCATCTCAGATGAAAAAGTAGGTCACCGGAGCTAAAAATAGAAAAACCTTGTGAACACTCTAGTGGTCACATTTTTGACCCAATCATCATCAAACTTTGTCAGGATGCTTGTTTAGATAATAGCTCGGATGAGTTCGAATATGGGTCATCTCGGATGAAAAACTAGGTCACCGGAGCTATAAATAGAAAAACCTTGTTAACACTCTAGCGGTCACATTTTTGCATCAATCATCATCAAACTTGGTCAGGATGCTTATCTAGTTGATAGCTTGGATGAGTTCGAACATGGGTCATCTCGGATGAAAAAGTAGGTCACCGGAGCTAAAAATAGAAAAACCTTGTTAACACTCTAGTGGTCACATTTTTGCATCAATCATCATCAAACTTGGTCAAGATGCTTGTCTAGGTGATAGCTCGGATGAGTTTGAACATGGGTCATCTCGGATGAAAAAGTAGGTCACCGGAGCTAAAAATAGAAAAACCTTGTTAACACTCTAGTGGTCACATTTTTGCATCAGTCATCATCAAACTTTGTCAAGATGTTTGTCTAGGTGACAGCTCGGATGAGTTTGAACATGGGTCATCTCGGATGAAAAAGTAGGTCACCGGAGCTAAAAATAGAAAAACCTTGTTAACACTCTAGCGGTCACATTTTTGCATCAATCATCATCAAACTTGATCAAGATGCTTGTCTAGGTGATAGCTCGGATGAGTTCGAACATGGGTCATCTCAGATGAAAAAGTAGGTCACCAGAGCTAAAAATAGTAAAACCTTGTTAACACTCTAGTGGTCACAATTTTGACTCAATTGTCATTAAACTTGGTCAGGAAACTTGTCTAGGTCATTGCTGGGAATAAATCGAACATGGGACATCTCGGATGAAAAACTAGGTCACAGGAGCTAAAACTAGAAAAATCTTGTTAACACTCTAGTGGCTACTGTTGTGATCCAAATATTCTGTTAATTGGTCTGAAAGTTTGTTTTGATGATTTCTAAGTCAAGATCGAACATGGGTCATCTTTGATGAAAAACTAGGTCACCCGCCCAAATATGGAAAAACCTTGTTAACATTCTAGTGGTCACATTTTCGACTCAATTATCATCAAACTTGGTCAGGATGCTTGTCTAGGTAATTGCTTGGATGAGTTCGAAATCGAATGTGAAACTAGGTCACCGGAGCTAAAAATAGAAAAAATCTTGTTAACACTCTAGTTGCTACTGTTTTGATCCAAGTATCCTGGAAATTGGTCTGAAAGTTTGTTTTGATGATTTCTAGGTCAAGTTTGAATATGTGTCACCTGGGTAAAAAACTAGGTCGCACTGCTCAAATATGGATAATCCTTGTTAATACTGTAGTGGTCACATTTTTGACTCACCTGTCATGAGACTTGGTCAGAATGCTTGTCTAGGTAATTGTTTGGATGAGTTTGATAAGTCAGGTGAGCGATCTAGGGCCATCATGGCCCTCTTGTTTAAAATTATTTTTATAAAAAGTTGATTTACTAGATTGATAAACAGTTTTCTGATTTACCAAAGTAAATTTGTTTTGATTCATTTGAAATACTGCAATCCTATCAGACAAAAAATAATTTCAAACACTGATCGGTGATGTGTATTGAAACTTTGTCTCTGCATTAGCCATCTGTACGTTTTTGGAACTTTACAGTAAATGGTTGTTTCTTTATTCCTGTGGAAATGGTTTAAAAAGTAGTTCAGTGATTGAGAGAGATGTCCCATTTATGTTAAAAAGTTACAAGTTTTTATTGATCTTTAAGATTTTATTGATCGTTTTCAGGGCTGAAGGGCGATTTTAGCCGGAGGATAGGGTTTGACCCCCAAGTGTCTGGTTATTATTTAACTATTTGTCTAAGAAATGATGTTGTATACATGTTAGACTACTGATACACAATGATTACTAACCTTTACTGATCTTAGACATATTGGTTTTAGGCCGAAGGATAGGGTGAACCATAGTGTCTGTTGCTATTATTTAAAATAAGTAAATTGATATTAAACTATATAAATATTTTTATACATTTGTATTTAGATAAATAGTAATTCAACAGGGTCTTAATAAGAAAAGTTTATTATATGACAATTTGAAACAGCTTTCAATTTTTATTTCAGGTACATGGAAAAGAGACTTGCATGTAAGTTTGAAGCTAATATTGGCTTATGGATACAATTATTTTCACGTTTAACTTTCTGTACGCCTAAAAGGACATAAAGAATTAAGTGAAACATGAACAAAATGTAGCTTTATATGAATCTGTAATTATGTAGACATTGTGATATATTTTTCTTGATATTTTGTTTAATTGATTATAGATCAAGTCATTTAAAGTTTCAAAATAAAACTGGTACATTGTGTCTAAGAAATGATGTTGTATACATGTTAGACTACTGACACATAATGATTACTAACTTTTACTGATCTTAGACATATTGGTTTTAGATGTCTCAAAGAAATTGAAAATGGAACAATTTAATTAGACACTCACAGAATATAATTTTGACCACCGAGTTATGAAAAAAATATTCTGTAGAAAAATTCAATAATATATATATGAATTTATATGATTTTAGTGAAGCTGAATGGTGGTAGAAGAATCAATGGTATCTTACGTGGGTTTGATCCTTTCATGAACCTCGTTATAGATGAGACAGTTGAAGAAACAAAAACAGGCGAGAAACATGCAATCGGAATGGTGGTATGTATACTATAATGTATTCCAGGCTTATATGATGCCTGTAGTTATTGTTAACTTAATAAGAAGCATCATAAAGTATGACAGTCACTTGATTTTTGTCCCCCGCCTTTTCGAAGAAAAAAGGGGGATATAGAAATAGGCTCTGTCCGTCCGTCCGTCTGTCCGTCCGTCACACTTTCGTGTCCGGTCCATAACTTTGTCATTTATGAAAGGAATTTGAAATAACTTGGCACAAATGTTTATTATAATAAGACGATGTGTCATGCGCAACAACCAGACCCCTACCTCCAGGGTCAAGGTCACACTTGCTCATTCAAGGTCAACATTGTGTATTTGAGGGTATATGTCGTGTCCGGTCCATAACTTTCTTATCTATGAAGGGATTTTGTAAATACTTGCCATAATTGTTCACAATAATCAGACGATGTGTCATGCGCAAAAACCAGTCACCTACCTTCAAGGTCAAGGTCACACTTTGAGGTCAAATATTAACATAGTCTGTTACAGGTTATATTTCGTGTCCGGTCCATAACTTTCTTATCTATGAAGGGATTTTGTAAATACTTGCCATAATTGTTCACAATTATCAGACGATGTGTCATGCGGAAAAAGCAGTCACCTACCTTCAAGGTCAAGGTCACACTTGGAGGTCAAATATTAACATAGTCTGTTACAGGTATATTTCGTGTCCGGTCCATAACTTTCTTATCTATGAAGGGTTTTTGTAAATACTTGCCATAATTGTTCATAATAATCAGACGATGTGTCATGCGCAAAAACCAGTCACCTACCTTCAATGTCAAGGTCACACTTGGAGGTCAAATATTAACATAGTCTGTTACAGGGTATATTTCGTGTCCGGTCCATAACTTTGTCATTTATCAAAGGAATCTGAGATAACTTGGCACAAATGTTTGTTATAATAAGATTATGTGTCATGCGCAACAACCAGACCCGTACCTTCAGGGTCAAGGTCGTACTTGTTCATTCAAGGTCAACATTGTGTATTTGAGGGTATATGTCGTGTCCAGTCCATAACTTTCTTATCTATGAAGGACTTTTGTAAATACTTGCCATAATTGTTAACAATAATCAGATGATGTGTCATGCGCAAAAACCGGTCACCTACCTCCAAGGTCAAGGTCACACTTGGAGGTCAAATACTTACATAGTCTGTTACAGGGTATATTTTGTGTCAGGTCTATAATTTTTTCATAGATCAAAGGATTGTGAAAATACTTTGCACAAATAGTCACTATAATAAGAGGATGTGTCATGCGCAACACCTGCATCCCTACCTCCAAGGTCAAGGTCACACTTAGAGGTCAAAAATTAACATAGTCTGTTATAGGGTATATTTTGTGTTGAATCTAGAACTTCTTCATAGTTCAAGGGATTTTGAAATAGCTTGGCACAAATAGTCACAATAATAAGACGTTATGTCATGCACAACACCTGCTCCCCTACCTCCAAGGTCAAGTTCACACTTAGAGGTCAAAGCTTAACATGATAGATTTTTAAATTCCGTGTTTCATTTTATTTTTTTAACAAATTTATTGTTACATTTGCAGATCTAGCATTGATCATAATTTTGGACTGAATGTCCTGAGATCCATACCTCAATCTTTTGAAATAGCAAAATTTTATGCTTCATATAAAACTCCCGGGGCGGGGGACGTTGGTAACTCTGTTACAAATTCTTGTCCAATTTAGTCGGGGGGAAAAGGGCTTTAAGACTGTTGTTTTTTGGAAATTTTATCCATAAAATTACTAATTTTGGAAGTAAAAAAGCTAGTGTAGGTTCAGATATTAGGGAAAACTTCATAATTCTAAAGAAACTTTACATTAGGAGGCCTCTTTTTATGTAGTTAAAAAGTCACTGCCTTCATGTTTTAACAAGTTTTGAGCTTAAGAAAAAGAAAAGTCGAATTTAAATCTGTTTTCTATTAATTCTAATTCTTGCAATCAGGTTTGCTATAAATCTAAAATGCTGAACTTTCTCTAAAACCTGTATCTTGCAAGGTTTACTGTTAAGTAGTTGGATTTTAGTTCTATAGCTCGCCACTGTTGTTGGTTTAAATCTTGCTAAAGATGTTGAATATCTTCATGTGAGAAATTTCAAGTCTCTTCCAAATCATATTTGACACTTCTGTGATATATGCTGGCCTGGCAAAGCAAAATTTACCCGTGTAAAATAGTAGTACAAGGTTAAGATACTCCTACAATAACCACTAATAGATATATAACAATAGTGACTATTGTTATACTTTTTATAGCTAAAATACTTTTTAAACCTGAAGACATTTGGGCTTTGTCCATCAAAATATCATGTAGCCCGGGGCGTACGTGGCCGAGTGGTTAAGGTCGTTGACTTCAAACCAATTGCCCCTCACCGCTGTGGGTTCGAATCCCGACAGGGACTTTTAATTCTTTCATGTGAGAAAGCTATCCAGCTAGCTTACGGAACGTCGGTGGTTCTACTCAGGTGCCCGTTCGTGCCTGAAATAATTCACGGAAGGGCACCTGAGGTCTTCCTCCATCAGTAAAGCTGGAACGTTGCGATATGACCTATACTTTGATGATGTGACGTAAAACCCAAACAAACAAACACACAAATATCATGTAGCCCAAACCAATTTTAACTAGCCTGAAAATTCTAACAAAAGATGTGGCCAGGTTTTTCAAATTAACTTAAATCCAAAGAAATTAATGCAAAGTGGTATCACTTGATTAACATTTATTTCTGATATTTTTAGACAGGGTGTACTGTAGACTGAAACTCAAAGGTCAAATGATTACATTTAGCTTACCCCTCTTGTGTCATAGCCTACTCTAAAAAAATCAATATGGATATCTCTCTCTGTCATTATAAGTACAATAGGCGTAAATGATTCTATATATAAATTATTTCAGAATATGTCATGCCAATACCTTAAAAAATCAATATTTCTCTCCGATGTTGCATACATATTGTACATGTATTTTTATTGGATCTCAAAACATTGCTAGACTGTCAGACTAGGATCCCTTCATTTTATGCTAGCCTGAACAAAATTTTACTAGACTGGGGCTCGGGCTTTGCCTATTTTTTGCAGACTGTCTCTGGATCTGTTAGATGGTAATGGTACATTTATTTACAAGCAATTGAATTATATATGTTGATACTTGTAATTTTATGTCTTATTTTAGTATAAAATGTATATTGTTTTTGCAGGTTGTACGTGGGAACAGCATAATCATACTGGAGGCTTTAGACAGGGTCTGATAGTAGGAACAAACTTTGAAGATAAAACATTCTAGTGTAAATAATTTGGTTTTCTCTAAAAGAGAATAGAATATAAAACAGCCTTGGGATCTGAACATTGATCAGTATGAATTGGAAACTGAAAAAGTAAAAAAAATTCAGGAAGTGATAACAGGTATGAGTCGAGTGACCAAATACAAAATAATTTATATTGTTTACACCGATTCATTATCTGATTTTAAAAGAAGAAAATTCTGACAGTGTCAAGATCTCATTGAAAGAACATCAACAACTGTTGCATTCTCCAATTTTAAACTTGTTGATGTGCAGATATCCGGCATTTCTGCAAACATTTTAAAAGATTTTTTTTGTTACTTATAAATCATCAACATTGCTACATGTAAAAATATCATCTGTTTAAGAAGGTCCTTCATTTTTCACACAAGTTGTATGTTGTTCATTCTTTTTAATATGTGTATCATGTTGTAAAATAGACATTCTTATTTGAATAAAATTAAAAAATCAAAAATGGTTTCCATGTTTATAACCCTGCATATAAACTTTATCAAGTGTCAGTGATTTAAGATGCTATATGATTTTAAACATTTCCGTTCTCAAATATTTTTTGCATTTTATGGGCATTGAATAATAAACTTTTGTCCAAGACATGATGTTGTATACATGTTAGACTACTGAAATACAGTGATAGATAACTCATACTGATCTTGGATGAAATTTTGTATTTTATTTTACTCATTTTTCTTGAGTGCTTGTAGAATCAAGAGGTCAAGGGTCAAAGTTTGATCGATACTTGTGCATGCTGTGCGTGGCATCAACACTTCTTTGAACCAGCTGCTCAGATTAATTCAAACTTGGCCTAGGGTGTGGCCTTGTCCTTTTTGGCTCCTGTTGAAGATTGTTCAAATTTATTTTTAAACCTTGAAAAGTTTTTGATATATTTTGCATGGATAATATTCTTCAAATACGTTGATCATTCTATCAAAAAATTTTTGAGTATTAATTTCTTTGTGGACTGACAAATGTCTTTAAAGTTTAACTGAACTGTCCTTTTCATTCTGGCTGAAAAAGTTTTATGTCCTTTAGCAGTAATGTCACAATTGTTTGGTTTTTCTACAAGATAATGTCATTTGAAAGAATATTGAAGATTCATGAATCTTTTAATTGCTGTGATGTGATATTGTAAAACTGTGCTAATTTCTTCAACACTACAGATTTTCTTTAAGAATGAATGCAAAAATAGTACCAAAATAACACTGGTAAATTGTGTCTAAGAAATGATGTTATATACATGTTAGACTACTGATACATAATGATTACTAACTTTTACTGATCTTAGACATACATGTATTCATTTTACCAGTTATGCGTATATGTTCAATTATTGGGTATTCGGTGTAGCTTTTTTTGAAGCATTTGAATGAAATACTCAATATGTTTATTCCTTACCCTGCTGATTGCAACTGATTCTACCCAATGAAAAAAGACAACTACTTTGGTTAAACAACACTTCTACAATTTGAGTTGTTCCCCTTTAGCTGTAAGTTTGCTATTGAAGCAAATTTGAAAAACATTTTTACTGTCTGCATTTCATAAGTATTAAGAAGTAAAACAATGATCTTCAACAACATCTTGTACCTTCACTTGAACAAAGTTGAAATGAATATACATAAAACATTATCAATAAGTATTTCATATAGATCCAAGCTTTTGAAATGTTTTTTGTTGTACTTTTGTTTCCTTTTTATGTCTCTGTAAAACCCTACAAATTTACAAAATAACTTAGTTCCTCATTGTTTATCATAAGTACACTATAGTCCATATAATATAAGCAAGTTGTTTTTCACTTGAGTTAATATAGTTTTTCTGCTTAAAAATACATTAATTTTTGATAAAATACAAGAAAATTTCAGTGAAATGAATATATTTTTCATCAGACCTGCAAGGCATATACATTATTTCAAATTGGAGTATAGTATTTGAAAAATAATCCTATTTGTGTAGTACATGTAATGATAGCTTATACACACCATGTCCAAGAAATGATGGAATATACATGTTAGACTACTGATTGCAAATGATTACTAACTACTACTGATCTTGGATTTAGTACTATACTATTTATTTGCTGGCTCTTTTCAAGCTGCAAATTGAAATAAAGCAGCTGGAATTGTACATTTGAAAACAGCCTGATGCGAATCTTGCTCAAACTTGCAACTTCATGACTTACTACCTACACCCATTTGTAGATCAAAATGTCACTGACAGTATAATAATTAAATTTGTCATAGAACCTTAAAACATTGTATTGATATTACCTTATTAATGAACTGTACCTTCGTTGCCCATTTGCAGGTCAAAAGGTAAAAGTCACCTGTGACCTGTAATTATAAAATTAATATTGGCTTATACACACCATGTCCAAGAAATGATGCTATACACATGTTAGACTACTGATCACAAATGATTACTAACTACTACTGATCTTGGATTAGGTACTATAATTATTTGCTGACTTAAATCGCCCATAGGGCCAAATTCAAATAAAACAGCTGGAATTCTGGTACTGTGATAAAACTGACTCACTTATTCTAATATTGATCAAACTTAATCCCTACTAGTAAAATGTATCCAGAAAGATAGTGATATACTCGTAGGTAGGGCATCTAGATTTTAATTACAAATGAAATTTAAAGAATCTCTCCTCAAATAATTCTATAGTATTCGGATGCATGTTTGTTTGCACAGACAGCCCCAAGGCCATGTTCACAAAGATTTGAGTAGGATCAAAATTAATTATTTTAAAAATTTTGTTTCGGTTTGCATTTGATTTAAAATTGAACCCTTTACCTCAGCATATTGTGAAAAATGGCCGTTTTCAATGATGAGCCTCGTGTTACAAGTTCAAACTGCTATGAAACTATTAAAAGTGCTTCAATACTGATGAAATTTGTTATTTGAGGAGATGAAATTTGGCACAAATGTTGACTGGACCATTGCCTCTTTAACTGCATGCTCCATCTGAAATTTCCTGTTTCCATGGTCCCGCTGGGACGTCTCAAAATTGCCAAAAATCGCTATTTTGCATTGTTTTTTCCCCACCAAAACTGATATCAAAGTGCTGCAACTTCTCAATGGATTGATATAGAGTAAACCAGTTTTGATGGAAAAAAAACAATGCAAAATAGTGATTTTTGGCAATTTTGAGACGTCCCCCCGTTGCCATTGTAACAGGAAATTTACCATTAAGCATGCTGTTACAGAGGCTATGGTGTAGTCAACATTTGTGCCAAGTTTCATTAGTATTGAAGCATTTTTCACAGTTTCATAGCAGTTTGAACTTGTTACAGGAGGCTTTTCAGTGAAAACGGCCATTTTTCGCAATATGCTCATGGGGTAAAAGGTTAATTTGGGATAGACCATTCTCATTTTTAGTCTAAATATTTCCAAATAAGTAATGGTTGAATAGTGAACCTTTGAGACTGTGTGGATGTTCCGACTGATCTTGGTTGCATGGGTAAATTATCTTTCTGCCAGCAGACTAAGGGTTTAGTTCTTATAAGATGTGAACATTTAAAAGTTGATCCAACTGGTGATCATGATATATGATATACTTGATGGGAGGTTTACCCTCTGTCTGTCATTCCAGTCATAACACAAAAGTACAAAATATAGGTTAATGGTACTTGTGTGTGGTAGAAGACCACATGGAGATTAGGCATATTCATTTAATTTTTATCCCCCCCACTCCCCAATTTTATAAGTGGGGGCATGCAGTGATGGAGTCTCCACGTATGTCACCTCTTGTCCGACCAATTACTGAGAACACCTTTGCCTTACAGTTCTAAGATGTAGTGTAGTGGTTGATTGACTAGTGGATGGCCCCTGTTGATTTTTAGGTCAAATGATGGAAGTACAATGACTATAACTAAAAGCTTGGCCGACCTATTACTGGATAATGCTGCTAGAAGCTTTGGAACTTTGGCCTTGAAAGCAAAGATTGAGTGTGTTGTCATGACCAGTATTTATTTATATGACCGGTCATTATGTCAATATTCAAGGTTACGGTATGTTGACTACTTATAAAATTGAAACTAAGGCCTTCAATACTAAGGTTTGATGTTTGGGTTTATGTCTAGATGACCCCTTGTAATTTTGAGGCCATTGACTTTTCACAGGTCAAGGTCACAATAACACATGGAATTATTGTCTTATTAAGAACTTTAATTTTATCATAAGCTTTCAATTGAAACTTTTCAGTTGTAAAACTATTTTATATTACTATGCATTTGGATTAAAGCATAATGTATAAGCATGTACATTTTCCACTGTGAGAGAAAAAAGTTTGGTTGGAAATTAATTTATTCTATTTTTCGTTGTGGTTAGTACGTATGGTTACTGAAATTTAGAAAATTAAAATGTGGATCCTGCCATAACTCATGAAGTACAAAAGTCAGGTTGTTATTTGGTAAGTGGAGGGCTGTATGACAGAAGCTACTTTGATGAAAATTAATTGGTATGTGGATAGAGAAACAAATGAAATCATGTTTTTTATTTGTCAACCCACGTAACGAAAAAAAATTGGATCTTGCCAGAGGCAAAACGTACAAATCTAACTTCATAGTATTTGAGATGTGGATAGAGGACAATATTGAAATTATGCACATTATTTGATTTTTTTTGCTTCAGTCTGTCGTTTTGTTCCTACTTTTACAACATAAAAGGAATAAAAAGCTAAAAAAGCTAGGTACGTATGTGGATAAAGAACAATATAAACATTGTGCACGTCATTTAAATTTTTTCATCCATCCGACAGTCTGTCATTCCGTCTGTCTGTAGAAATCTGTATCCGATCCCGCCATACATGTAATGCATAAGTTACAAAAACTATGTTGATAATACTTGGTATGTGAATAGAGGACCAAGTGGATATTTTTTGCGCATTGCACTTAAGTTTTTGACAAAAGTACAACAGATTTTACCCCTCTACTTTTGTAATTCGAATTTCCCATAGGCAAATGAGAGATATTCTTACTGTTAATTCAAGTGAACCACAGTAAAAATCTGGGAAAAAATAGGAACAGTGTCCCAATGAAGTATTTGTTCTGGGTAACACATAGGTTTGAGATTAACAACAAAAATATCATCTCTCGTAAAATTACTGCTTAATACCCTCGGCTTATGCCTCTCCCACGGGATGATATTTCTACTATTACTTATAAGCCTATATGTTATTAATATAATATCGGTTTTTCATTTTAATCAATTCTTGCAATGCGGTGGCTGAACTGTGCTCTCGTAAATTCAATGTGGCTAACTGTCGTGATCCGGAGTGGAAACTACCAACACAACCACCAATCGATTCTTAGCAAACAGTTTGACATTCCTTACTTTTCATCCCTTTGGCTCCAGGTCGATCATTCATTCAATAGATATAGAACTACATATGCTTGTATTATGGTACGGCAATGCATGGCGTCGCATGTATATCAACTATGTAATTATGATAAT